CACTTTTTGGTTTTTGTCTTATTATATCTGTCAATTTGGCTAATTCTAAATATTCTGAAAGCTTACATAACCACTCTCCCCTAGTGGGTAACTGATTCCCTTTCCAATACTTAGCTTTAGGTGCCAGACAAAAACATTTTTTTTTAGCCAGACCTTTGGCTCTCTTTTTTTAAAAAAAATATTTATTTGGTTTTTCAGATTAAGATTTTACAGTCTTATATCGAACATAGAACATAAAAACAAGATTCCGAGGAATCTCTTGGACTTCCCTCCTCCCCTTTGTGGGTCCTATGATTAATCATTTCCTCCTGCATTTTATATGATGTTCCAAATCCTTTACATCTTCATTGTGTCCAAAATTCAGCATTAAACTACAAGTGATATTCCAATCCTACTAACGATTTTAGTTGTTTACAATGGTCTTTAAGATAAGTTATAAAAATTCCCCCCATTCCTTATTAAAATTTTGGTCTTCCTGATTTCTGATTCTTCCGGTCATTTTAGCCATTTTGGCATAGTCCGTCAACAACTTCTGCCATTCTTATCTGGTAGGGACTTCATCTTCTTTCCGTCTCTAGGCCAGTAACATCTGCGCAGCCGTGGTCACATACATAAAAGTATTTTCTTTTTCCTTGGGATTTTGGCACCTGGAATTCCTAAAAGGAAGGCTTCAGGATTTTTTAGCAAAGGTTATTTTAAACATTTTTTTCCAACTCATTACATATCATTTCCCAAAATCCTTTTACTACCTTACATCTCCACCTTTGGCTCTTAAGTGCTCACAGTGACCCCTTCACAGGGAGCAAGGCCTAACCTTTGAATGTGAACAAACTGGACAGGACAACATTCTGGGATTTAAAAATAGGCCACAGCTTTATTGATTCCAGATTTTGGCTTAGGCATTGGGTGCATATCCCTCTCAGCTCCCCTGGTGCAGGGCCGACACATGACAAGGTCAAGCCTAGGGTTAAGGGTGCTGTTGGCATATATAGGCTGGGGGCAGACCAGAGTGCTCCCAAGCTCCACCCACCCAGCCTGGCTGGATTGGCCAGAATTCAAAATATCAGGAGGTGGGAAAGCCTGCCAATCCAAGCGGCTGGCCCGGGAATTTCCCAACTGCTGGCCACCTTGCCACATGTCACTCCTCAAGGGATGGAGTCTGTTGCAACAGGTTGTAACAGCTGCCCACCCCTGGACTGGGTAAGTAGCCATTATCTGTGACCTATTTGAGTGGGTGGGATGCTTTAATCTAAAAGACAGATTTTAATATGTTTTTCTTTTATGCCTATTTTAATGTATGTATGTATGTATGTATGTGTTTGTTTGTTTGTTTCTATGTTGTGAGTCACTTTGAGTTACAATAAAAAGCGAACAATAAATATATTTTCAAACAACAACCTTCCTCCCATTGTTCTTTATAGATCTCTCCAACTTGTACTTTCCATTTGTCTTCTAAATTGGAAACATATGTAGGGGGGAAAAATACACCTTTCTCAGTGTAATTGTAAAAAATCCCCATGATTCTTGAATGTGTGTGTGTGTGTGTTTAAGGAGATTTCAGGGGAAAGATGTAGCTGATGAGCATCACAGTTCCATCAGCTGCATGCTTATTTCTTACAAATGCTAAGCTAAACCCTTCCTTTGTAATGTACAGCTACCTGGTGCCTTCGCTTATTAAAACAGGCTCCCCGCAGGCCTAATTTGCTGCCTTCATTTATGAAACTGGACTCCTGTTGACCTACTTGATTGACTTCATAACACTATCTTACTAACGTTTCTATTTAAAACTCTTAATACCTTGCGGTTACAACCAACATTATGCTGCAATTGCAAAGAGATTGCCAAGATATATGAAGGAGTTTACCTTGAAGCCATAAAACTGCTTTTCTAAATTCCCTGGGTACTTTTTGGCTTACTAATTTAGGGCAGATATTACATAAAAGTTCCCAGCAGAGGGGTAGTTGGGGGGGAAAAAGCTCCTTTGTAAAGTTGGGATTTTTTAATTTGTCTCTGAGGATTTTTTAAGCATGCAACAAGAAAACATCTGCCAAAGATAGTTCTGTTTGATTGAAATATGCAAATGCAGTATTAGTTTTATATCAGTTTAACTGTCATGCCTTCCTTCAAAGAATCTTGGGAATGGTAGTTGTGGTGAGAATTCTCTGTTAGAGGTTCCTAGAGTCTCTTGCAGAATTAGTAGTGAATTGGGAAAACTTGGGAGACCATGATTATATGCAAAATGTGCTTCCTCAGCAGATGTGACAAGGAAGGAACACACACACACACACACACACACACACACACACACACACACACTGTGGCATCAAAATTTCCATTTCTCTCATGTGTGGGAGCCCGTCAAGCTTGCAACTACATTATGATCAAGCAGTAAGTTGGCTTTGCTACTTACACATCCAAAGTCTCTCAGTAGTTAGTAGCATCTCCTTCGGTTGTTTTAGGGTCCTCCTCTAGATCATCACTGTTTTTGGTAGGATTCATTCACCTCAAAGCATTTAAAGCTGGTTTGGCCTCTTGCAGGAAAGAAAACTGCTTCCCCACCCTGCCCCAAACTGGCCTTTTTTTGCAATAAGGACAGTGACAAGTAAATACACTGGAAAGTGTGGGATAATACTTGTGTCCCACTTGCACTGCACATTTAAAGCAGTATCGTGCCACTTTAAACAGTCGTGGATTCCATCAAAGAAGCCTATGAACTGTAGTTGTTATGGGTGCAGAGAGTTGTGGGGAAACCCCTATTCCTTTCGTAGAGCTGCAATTCCCAGAGTTCCTTGGGAAGAGGGACTGGTTGTTAAGCCACTCTGATAATCATAGCTCATAGGGGTCTCATCACAACTCACAACTCTCTTTTTAATATATTTTTTTAATAAAAATTATTTTTTTAAAACAACAGCTCACAACCCTCTTAACAAAATGGAGTTCCCAGGATTCTTTGGGGCAAGCCGTGACTCTTTAAAGTGCAGGATGCTGCTTCAAATATATAATGCAGATAGCAACTTTGCCTAACTTTCCCACGAACAATGGAATGCTCAATAAACTACTAATACTGCCTAACCTCCCCTTAAACTTTGTTCAAACAAATCAGGATACGTGCTCAATAAACAGGTCATCTGGAAGCAATCTTCTTCTAGTTGTCCCAGAAACCTACTACTTACGTTACATCAAGGGCTGTAATCAATGTTTCATCTTCCCCTTAATTAGCAAGTATGTCGTACGTATTGTTATATGTGTTCTTTTTGTTGCCTGTATTTTTAACTTGTTAACTTTAAAATGGTGTGTGTGTGTGTGTGTGTGTGTGTGTTTAAAATGAGCCACAGTTCCTAGGGTTGTGAGGGAATGACTCTTAAATGAATTAAGCCTGTAATGTAGATGCTTGAAGAAAATAGTCATTTTAGCCGGAGCACCAAAACTTTCACATTAGTACTCATTACCATAGAGAATGAAAAAGAGCATGCCAGTTTAAATATTTAAATATGAAATATAAATATTTAAAATGTAAACACTCTGCTCCTCCACATGTGGTCCTGCCTAATGGCAGATAGGTCGCCAAATTTGTTTTCAAGCTTCCTCAATATGGCTTGAGCAATTCAATTTTGGTTTTCCAGATGGGGTCAGCAATATTGATGGCATGGTACACGTGGCAAAAGAAAACAGCCGAGTGAAACGCTTAGGTGGATATGTGTTTGGGCCAGCATGCGTCACCTTTAAATCAGGGTTAACTACTGCTTCAGTTGGTACATTTCATGGGGGATGGGCTCTAGCTGTGTGGAAGATAGGCAGCTGACTTATAGCAAGTCAGAGCATAGAGATTTCTAGCTGTCATGAACTGGATGTGTAGGAGTGGTGGGAGGCACCTAGCTGGGGAACCCCCAAGGTACTCCCCATGGGAAGAAGGCTAAGAGTCCGAGGAGTGGTAGTGAGATGACGATGAGTGGTCAGAGGGAGAAGAGGGAGCAGACTGGGAGGGGTAAGTGTCGGAAGCCGAAGAAGTAACAGGGTTTAGTGAGCAGGAGGAGTCTGTGGCAGAGAGCAGTCCAGAATCAGAGACAAAAGCAGAGGCTGGAGAGAAGGAGGACCAAGAGGTGGAGATGAGGCAGGCTGCTGAAGAAGCCAGGGAGGCCTCCCTCTCCTGCTACGACCAGCTCCCCTCTCCCAGAACCAGAAGAGGTATGAAGAGGGAGGAGCAAAGGCAGGCACGGCAATCAAGTCTCAGATTGCTTGGAAAGGACCCAGGGGAGGAAGAGATGTAGGGAACTGTGGGGACCTTCAGTCCCCACAGCTGCCTCAAAGTGGCAAGTCATGCTGGGACGAGTTGCTGTGCTTACTAGGCCTGGCCTCCCGAGTCGACCTTGTTTCCTTGAATATAAAGTCAACTTCACTGACGCCGTGTGATTTATTGCTGACCTGCTCCTGGCTTCTGCTCCTGACACTCACCCAGTATTGTCTACACTCACTGGCACTGTCTCTTCGGGATTTCAGCAGGGCATATTCCCAGCCCTACATGGAGATGCCACTGAGCTTTCAGTGGTCTGCCTCTGCAAGGACTGCTGCCTACAGATTTTTTTGGCTGTAGCATGGAGACAATCTCATGGGTGAGCACAATCTGTGTGGCGAGCCAGTACACATGAAACTGTTGGGTGCATGGTTGCAATGTGTAGGCACTTTTGAGTTGCCTCGCTGTATTTGCTACACCCAGTGGTGGCTGCTGCCCATTGGGGCTAGTGGGGTGGAAGGCAAGGAGGCCAACAGCAGGTGGCGCCAGAGCCAATGACAGAAGGAGCCAACTCATTCTAAGTTTGTCCCCCTCCCTGGGAATTCTGCAAGGGCAACACTCATTTTGAAAAGGAGAAAGCTGGCAAGTGGTGCCAACCCCTGGACTTGGCATAAGCAAGAAAGCAAGCATGTGGGGACTGGATGAGGGCAGAGGGAGGTTGGCAGAGTGGTGATCCATTAGTACTAATGGATCAACCCCCCCCCCCCCCAGTTATAACATGTGAAGTGGCCCTATGCAAGAGAGTAGGAAGATATGGCGACTTCTGCCCTGCTTAATTTGTTCTTGAACATAGCACAAATAGAGCTTATAAATTCTTCATTAAAGACACATGTATATTTCATCCGTGATCAAAACCGTAAGTGTTTCTCATACCCATTTTTTGCATGTAAGTTCTTTACCCCTGTGTCCACATCAACAAGGACCTCTGCAAGGCAGCAGCTTAATTGCCGATGCTGCCAAATCCCCATAGAGAATATGTCTCTTTTCATTCCGGTCTTCCTTTTCCTTGTTAATGCAGAAAGATGATTAAAAATTGAATTTCCATAATGCTGCACTATAAACGGCTATTTATAAGCAGATAACTGGATTAGTTGCTATGGAAACAGAAAATATCGTGCCGAAATCGAATCAGCATAATCTAGAAAGGATCACTTCTGTTCAGGCATGGCACCCTGTTACTCCTCTATTTATCTTCTTCTCTGCTCCCAGCCATGGCTGTAGAAATCCCATCACGGCCCCCATATCCCCTTCTGCATTTGTGGTTGAAGTGGGGTGGGTGGGGGGTAGAACGAGAAAACCATACTGTGGAACTAGGAGGAGGTCTGCAAATTTTGCTCTCTCTTTTAGAATTGAGCTTCAGAATTTGGTTTTTGTTTCGGTCCATGAAACTGTGGGGACTAATTCATTTCAAGCGAACCATACTATAATCACCACTTTGCGATTCTGAATGCCGATGTGCCGTCAATAAAGCTATCAAAAGAAGCTGAGCCATGTTGATATACAAAGATGGCAATGCTTGCCGTGTGCACATCAGGCTCCTGTGATGCTGGCATGTTTCTATGGCAACATGCCTCTTGCCTCATCACTGTAGCAACAGGTGCCTGATCCCTTTGGCAGCCAGTCTGAAAATCTGCAACAGTATTGTAATTGTATCCTTTTTGCTGGCTCACAATTTTCTGCTCTCCAGCGCTGCTAATCAGGGCCAACGGAAAGAGCCCGATCTTGCAATCTGGCTTGGCCACCATTCGGTATAAGAGGAACTCAATAAGCATTTTAGGGAAGCTTTTAATGTTTGATGTATTACAGTATTTTGATATTTCTTTGGAAGCCGCCTAGAGTGGCTGGGGAAGCCCAGCCAGATGGGCGGGGTATAATAAATAAATAAATAAATAAATAAATAAATAAATAAATAAATAATTTTCTTATCTGGACCCTCATTGCAAATTTTTATCAATGAATTGCTTAAAGGTGGTCCGAAAGTAATTTCATGTGGACCACCCAGAGCTCACTGATTGCTGGAATACTGACAAAGAATGCTAGACTAGGTAGGTCTTAAAACAAATCCACCAGAGAACTTGAGCTTTTAAGCAAGAGTGATTACTTAAAATAATTTAACAGACATTAGTTTTGCCTGACCTGTTCAGAAATCCTGAGTATGTGCTTTGGCCTTATAACATGGGGATTCTAGTTAAAGAATTGGGCTACACAAAAGTATAGCCGGGCCATATCTGATGACACACCGTATATTTAAAGCACTATTATACCACTTTAACTGTCATGGCTACACTAAATCCTGGGAACCTGCAGTTTGCTAAGGGCACTGAGAGCTGTTAGGGAGACCTCAATCCCCTCACAGAGCTCCCGTTCCCAGAGTTCTCTGGAAAGAGGAATTGATTGTAAAACTAGTCTGGAAATTATAGCTCTGTGAGGGGAATAGAGGCCTCCTAACAACGCAGGATGCGGGTGGCACTGTGGGTTAAACCACAGAGCCTAGGACTTGCTGATCAGAAGGTTGGTGGTTCGAATCCCCGCGACGGGGTGAGCTCCTATTGTTCGGTCCCAGCTCCTGCCCACCTAGCAGTTTGAAAGCATGTCAAAGTGCAAGCAGATAAAAAGGTACCGCTCCAGCGGGAAGGTAAACGGCATTTCCGTGCACTGCTAAGAAGTGGCTTAGTCATGCTGGCCACATGACCTGGAAGCTGTACGCTGGCTCCCTCAGCCAGTAAAGTGAGATGAGCACTGCAACTCCAGAGTCGGCCACGACTGGACCTAATGGTCAGGGGTCCCTTTACCTTTTAACAACTCTCAACACGCTTAACAAACTATAGTTCCCAGGACTCTTTGAGGGAAGCCAAGACGTGATATAACAGCTCTTTAACTGTGTAGCATGGATGCAGCCTATAACAGCAATTCTATCCATGCCCGCTGTGAACTCAATACTGCTGAATTTGGTGAGGCTTTCTCCCAGATAAACGAACAAACTAATGCTAAAACTTTGAGAATATCAAATTCTGTCATTATATCCTTTAATCTTCTGGGTTCTTCTGCAGTCAACATTGTTAAGGGCTCTTTGTTTTTATTTAATACAAAAGTGTTCATTCTACGTTTTGGGAAGTCCTGTGAGAGGTCAGTCATTTTTTAATTTTACAGCCTGCCTGATCATGGATATACAATCTCATCTAACTGAATCAGTTGCACCATTTGTATTCCAAGCTATGAAAGGATTCATAAGCAATTCTTACAGAACTCTTGAAGAGGTACTGGTTTTAATTTTGTTCTAAACTTGTTTAAGTTTTTACTAATCAAATACTGAGTTTTATTTAAAAAAATTGGAGCTTCTTTCCCCCTTGTTGTATGAAATAAATACCCCACAGCAACCCAGTAGATGCTTGAAATCCATTTTCCCAGGTCATGAGAGGGGTGACAGCTAGCAATAGGAACCTCCTTTTTAAAGCACGACAAAACTGCACAACACCTTCTGGGTACATCAGGGATGCTGTAAGGAAGATTCTCCCATGGAAAGCTGGGCCATAGCATAGCTGCTTATTTATCCAGTGTGATTTAGGAGAAATATTATAAATGAGTACGTTTAGGCATTTCGGTGAGTACAGTGGTACCTCGGGTTACAGAAGCTTCAGGTTACAGACTCCGCTAACCCAGAAATAGTACCTCAGGTTAAGAACTTTGCTTCAGGATGAGAACAGAAATTGCGCGGCTGCGGCGCGGCAGCAGCAGGAGGCCCCATTAGCTAAAGTGGAGCCTCAGGTTAAGAACAGTTTCAGGTTAAGAATGGACCTCCAGAACGAATTAAATTCTTAACCTGAGGTACCACTGTATAGATCTCAATGACAGCAGTGCGACACTAGTAAGAGCTTTATAATATCACTTTCATAGACCGTGAAGTCAAGGCAACCTGCTCATTTGCATAACTCCAGCCTAGGTTTGACGTTTTCATCTCCCAAAAGTTTTTGATTTGAGATTCTACTGAAATGAGGCTACATTTTAATGTTGTATTTTAATCTTGTTTTTAAGTTGTATTTTGATCAATTGTTTTATACCTGGTGTTAGCTGCCCTGAGCCTGGTCTTGGCTGGGGAGGGCGGGGTATAAATAAATTAATTAATAATAATAATAATAATAATAATAATAATAATAAGGTTCCATCGTGCTAGTTTCTGACACAAATATGGACTCCCAAAACTTATTTCTGAACTATATGCGGGCGATACCCAACTAACACATCCTGTCGACACAAGAATTTTTACTGCCACAATGGGGCTTTACCCCTCCTCTCTGTGTGCCCCACACTTTTGCCATATCTCTGTATGGTTGTGGGGCCCTAGAAACAAATTCAGGGGGCAAACAGGGAGGGGGGGGGAGTCCCGTTTCTCAAGTGCAAATCCTTGCACTGATGGGATGTGTTACTCAGTGCTACTTTGGATACAACCCCTGGTATTTTCTGTGCCTATTTTAGTTTTTGTGTTGCCAAGCACAACATGTGGCAAAGGAGCACTAGGAAAGGGTCCTCCTCTAGATACATGATCCAACACATGGCATTCAAACCCAGGAATGCTTTAAATTGATGGCAATTATTCACAAATATACACAGAGGTGTTATGTTGAAGACCTTTAAGCACCACTCGTTATAGAGAGTCTGCAATTCTCCTGTTTATATTTGTTTTTGTACCCAGAAAAATATTGGGGCTTAGGAAACTGCTCTTTAATATTAATATTTGATTGAAAGAATTTCAATTCTGCATTGCATTTTTGTATATATATATATATTCTTACACACATTTTTGTTCTCCCCCCCCTCACTTCCCCCTTCCCCCCTCTGTATCACATTATTTCTTTCTATTTTTGATGCCATGGCTTCATTTCTCCATATTGCTTTAAAAAAATTAATTCCCACATGCCCGTGTACCTGATTTAACTCAGGAAACTGATGAAGCAGACTGTGTCCCTTCAAAGCTTGTGCCATAATAAATTTGTGAGTCTTGAAAGACCTACAGAATCTTGGTTGCTTTTGCTGCAACACATGAACAGGGCTGTCCCCCCCGACCTTGTTCAGCATGTGAATCTTTGTTAATGCTTTGAAATGTTCTCAGCTCATGAATTGTGCATGAATAGCTCTGTATAGTTTTGTTGTTTAATCATTATAGCACAATCTGGCTTCTCACCATTGGGACCTTGGTCTACAGCTGGCCTTGAATCCTGAACAAATGGGAGTAGCATACACTTTGTTGATTAATGCCTGCAAATACTTCTTTATGCAATTAATTTTCCTGTTCTGGGGGGATGACTAAGGAATGAAGATCAGAGGCCTCCCTCCCAGATCTGCAGGCAGAGTTATCCAGTGCTGGCCAAGGAAAGACCTCCACTGTGGATCACCTCCTCCACCCAAAGACAGCATGGTCCATAGCATTCTATAGTCCTTGAGATGCCCTCTCAGAGACCATAGAGTCACACCCTTAATCTTCAGAAATGCACATGCATATTCTATTACACAGAACCAACCAGAGGACAAATTGACAATTGTAACTCTTGCGGGACACAGACGAGATACCTCTGCTTCAATGAGGAATTTCATATTTATTTTAATGATATTAGCACAATAAACTCACACAGTAGCATTGATTCTGTAATTATTTAACAAAATACATTTATAGCAATTTACAAATAGTTTTTTTTGTTTTCATTTTAAAACAGTGCATAACATTTTATTAGAACACAATACTTTATATAGAATTCTCGTTTAAAAACATATCTTGTATTTTACCCAATTTATTTGTTTTTCTTAGTAAAGCACAGCCTAACAAAGAAATTGGTGCCTGTTTTAGCGAGTAAGAAAAAACTAGAAGATGCCACCTGTCAATTTATCTGATTTGTTTGAAATTAAGGTATCAGTGGAATGTAAACAAAGGTTAATTTTATAAAAGGCTCCATAAATGATATACATGCCGGAGTCAAGAGTTCCAATGTATATCTTATTGTTATTATTTTGTTCTTTAACGTAATTATGTTTCTGAGAAGCCAGTATTAAAAAGAGTAGCCTTTGGCACTTCCGAGTAAAAAAAGAGTATTTTCAATATTTTAAGTAAAGAATGCAATTACAATGATTCTGCAAGTGCTTTTAAAATTGTCTGCTATTAAGTAGGAAAAGTTTAGGTAGGAAAAATAGCACACTGCACTTGAAAGGATGCAGTGAATTTCAGAGACTTAAAAGCAACTTGTGATGCCTTTATCTATGGTAAACTAACTAAAACAAAGCAAACTACAAACCATTGCTCCCACTAAAGCTCACTCCACTTTACCTATTGTTGACAGAATAAGCTGCTTTCCCAGAAGGGCTATTTTTTAGTCCTTGTATTATTGCAGTTGCTTAAATTGTCATTTTCCCTTCTTAGATTATCAAGTTATTAACAACTCTGTGTTCTCTCACTATATTTCTAGGTCAGCCTTGATTGCATCCTATCTCTTCGTTTCAAGGTCTTCCCTGCTTGGTGTATCTAAACTAAACTACAATCCCTCATCAAGCCAAGTGTTTGCAATATTTTTTGTAAAAAAAAAGTGGGAGGGAAAGGTCAATACCAAGCAGATCTGCTTGGGTTGTTTTACAGTTTTTTAAAAATGCTTATAAATACTGTGTATGGAAAACAGTCACCCCCAACCCAGCTAGGTAGATCTGTAGGCAGATTTTCTACACAAAACGTTGGGATCTTTGGGTGCAAGAAAGTGCTGGATATGAAAATCTGCTGGCCGGATGCCTGCATCCAGCGACCAGGGTGGCATGCTTGGTTCCTGAGCTGGATTGGGAATTTGCATGGATGGCAACCGACACAGGGTCTGTTGAAATGGGATGTGGAGATACAACTGGATATCCACCCCAGTTCTCAGCGTGGCGCACTCATTGGCGCAAAATGGTATGTAGATTAATGGTGCCTTTGAATCGAATCCAGATGAGAAATGCTAAACCCAACCTGCTCTCTGAAGTCACTGCACATGGGGCTTTTGTTTCTGCACAAGTCATTGCCTGCTAAATACTGTTGCATGGGACTGACATGGGGTTTTCGAGCCGTTATCTGAAGATAGCGCAGGAGAGCGCGTTTTGCAGGTGTGAAACCTCAGTACTGTCACTGTTTGGGTAAGTGTGAAAGGCTCTCAGGTAGGGAAACTGGGAATGACCTCTGTTTTAGGACCCCAGAGACTAGCTTTTGATGGGGGCAAGGTGTGAATGCATAGCTCAGCTGTGAAACTGGCTGATCTTGGGCAAATCGATATCTCCGTCTAATTTACTTCACAGCTGTGGTGAGGGGGAAATACCACTGGGCCCCTTGGCAAGGGAAACGGCTGCAATCCTATACACAGATACCTGGAAGTAAGTCCCACTGAACCCAGTGAGGTTTGTACTTCCAAGAACACATGTATGTGATTGCATAATTAGATTAACTTTGTATCTTTATACCCACTTTATTTTTGTCTGTTATTTTATAGCACTGAGTGGGTTTTACTCAGAAAGGCGGCCTACAAATATTTTAAACAAAATGAAAAAGTAAGGAGGAGGAAAATCATTAGCATCCAAAGGTTGTATCCAGTGCTAGTTTTGCTTGGAATAGACTCACTGAAAATAATAGACACAACTAATTTAGGTCCATTATTTTCAATCAATCCTCTCTGAGCAGGACTTAGTTGGGTACAACTCCAAGTATTTTGAGGTCATTGGATTCTGGATAGGTCTGCAGATTTTCCAAATAGTAGATGCTCCTGTGACTTTCAACGCTTCTAGCTGACTACTGCAAAAGGCATTCACAGAATTTGATCTTTGCGAGTTTCTGATATGAATTAATCTTATCCGTGTCTCCAGATTAATGTGGAGATTGGAATTTTGTTTCACTACAGATTTTGCACTTCTTGAATATTCTGATGCAGTTCTTGGCAAAACAGAAAGTATCAAAATACCGTATGTTTAAAAATGTGTTTTAAAATACGCTTTAACATTTGTATCTTTTCTTTTAAAAGATCATATTTTGAGAGAAATAGGTTTTAAAAGTCACATTTAAATGTGAATTTTCATGTCAGATTTTTATAAAAGAAATAGCAAACTAATGCAGAAACATGGAAGGGACAGAGTGAATAAATGTGAAAATGTCTCAGATAAAAAATAGTGTGGTTTGTCTATCCCTAGATATCCCCATTAGCTACATTCTGTATGACTTAGGGCAACACTTCAGTTTACAACTGCCATCATCCCTGATCATCAGCCAAGCAGGCTGTGATTGTCATCCCAATTCCAAACCAGTCAATTTTCTCCTTAGAAAATAATCTCGGCACCATCTCCTCTCCTCAGGATGAGTTCACAGCAAGGAAAGGCTTTTCAAATCCCTAACTGAAAAGTATGATTAATGAGAATATCCACTGAATCTAATCTGTGGTACAATACAGCACTTGTGTATTAATTTGGCTGTTGCGGGCCATTCCAAATCTCAAAATAACAACAACCCCAATGAACATTCTAGGAGTAGCTTAATGGGCATTATGTGCCAAGCCAAACAAGTGATGGAGCAACGTCTTGGAGTGAGCTCAAATACGTGTTTCATCAGCAGTTTCCCACAAATTACAGGGTTAGCCCATCCACTGGACTGGGACTTTTGTCTATGGTATTATGCCCAGAGAGATTACCAGATGTCTCGTTCCCTGACACTACCCTCATCAGGTTTGCCTTATGGGATCTTAAATAACTCAGAGGAAGGCTAAACTGCCACAGTATTGCAGGGATACAGGATAAAATACTGTACCTGCTTAATGTCGCCTTACTTTGAGTCTTTACGATGGTATAAACCCATCTGGGATAGGACCTCGCAACTTTAACACCCAGTAATTTCACTGATGCTGTTTCAGGTCAACCCCTTGACGGTTTTACTAGCTAAAAGGAGGTTAAGGTCAGCGCATTAGGATTGCTTGGCATTCTTAATTAAGTTCAGGTCATCTCCGAAGGCAGAGAATGTGGCTCAGGTTCTGGAGGAGGGTACAAACAGGCCCAAATCTTGTCTAGGAGGCCCCGATACCTATGGCCAATCCAGCTAATTGATTCGGAAGCCTGATTTATAATTCCCCCCCCCATCTTTACAACATAGTAGCAATTATCAGAGTGAAACACTAGATAGTCAATAATGAATAAAAATTAGGAAAGATAAGCAATGAGACAAATCGAGAAACTGTTAAAAATGAAGTGTTAATCAGTGCTCTAAGAGATCCCTGTTTGTTTGTTTTTAAAAAATCCCATGCTATTTCAACTAGTCCCAGATTAGCTCACTGAGAAGTGACCTCTTTGTAGCACCTGAAACTAAACAATTGGAAAGAAACAGAAAAATTAACCAGAAGAGAAAATGTTTCCATTTTCATGGAGTATCATTCACATTGGTTTTTTTTTGTTCCAGTAAACATTTCAAAGAACTACACAAAACCTTTGCAATCTTTTAATGTGAAATACCCACTATAACACAGCTGTCAATATTTTTCTACTCTAAATGAATGCAGCCAGCATCATATTTTCAGCAATATCACTTGGAAAGGAATTACACATCAAAACGTCATGTGTCTGTAGCAATGAACAGGTATGTAAGTTTACTAAAAAAGTAAAAGTAAAAGTAAAGTTAGAATCAGCACCGACTTGTATTAAATTTTGGTGCAAAACCCGCAAAGGTGAAGTACAACACTGATAGTACACCTTTTGCCCATTGTCCTTAGACATATATAAATCAAAAAGTTGGCACATTCAGGAAATAAGGTGTCTGTATTTAAGATTGCTGTTTTTGTTGACATTGTTCCCATTGGAAAAACATTTTGAGTCTGGGGGAAAAGAAAAACCTGTTAGGAAACATCCCGTTTGATAGGTTCTTGCATTTGTGCTTCCCCCTCCCCCTCCACTGCAACATGAAACCCACAAATTCATGCACAATCACTACACATCAGCAACATCCAAAAATGGTCAGGCTGATGGTCGATATTTTGGCACATCAAGAATATTTCGGCATCAGCTCAAAAGTAGAGAGAGCACAAAGCTAGTACCAAACGGTGTCGATTGTCAATGGCATGGCTGGGCGGATGCACCGAGCCTCATTCTTTGTAAGCTCTTGTGGGGGATGTTCCCTTGTAGAAGATGTTCCTGGTATTCTCCGGGCTGCTTCCTCTTTCAGGAATCAAAATGATATTACCTTTCCTCCGAAGCGTAGAATCACGGCTGGAGGAAACAGACAGGGTCTCTGAGCCAATCTCGCTGCCTTCCACTGGTGTGACCCTGATCGTCGTCATCCCGTGATGGTGGTGCTCACTGTTGTCGATGTTACTTCTTTTTCTGTCCCCGGATCCATAACTGTCTTTCAAAGATTCGCAGCTCTCCGAGTCTCTGTTGAGATCATTGAGCTCATACGTCTGACGAAGGCTTCCTTTCTCGGGAGCTTTCCATTTCCACGAGCCACTTCCTTCGCCTTCTGACGGCATCTGAATGATGGGCCTGTTGTTTTCGGGGTGGGCTTCGACTCGCACGATGCTGCTCGGCTCGTGGTCCGTCAAGGTTTTGTATCGGATGGAGCCCGTGCAGGTGACCGTGCTGCCGTCGGAGCTCTTTGGGCTGCCCTGAAGGACGCCTTGCTGCTTTGACATGGCGATGACCTGCATGATCCTTGGCTGGCTGTTGCTTCTACACCCGACAGTCTTCTCGGCGGCTTTCAACCACTTAGCTCGGGCGGAGCTCGTTTTGGGAGACGTGTTCACATTCTCCTGCGTCTCTTCGGGGATGTGGACAAGCTGTGAAGAACCCGGCCGGGACTGAATAGAAACTCTGGGCCCACCAGAAAGGCCAACGCTATTGCAGCCTGGCATGCTGCCCGGCTGGATTTTCAGGTACTGACTGGGAGGCCCATGGTGATCGCCATTAACGCCAACCCTGGATGGCTCAGAGCTAGACCTCATCTCAATTGCTCGAGGTGGCGACTGCCCAGAATCCGTCTCTATCACCTGCAGGGACAACTTCCGGCTTTCATTCTTGTTCTTCCACTGGGACAGAAGCTGTTTGGAGCGGGCAGAATCCATAGATGCATGGATGGTTGCGTTCCGACGAGCTGACTCTTCCATCGCAGGCGTGTTGGCTCTCGGCAGTGTGTTGCTGAAAGTCACCATGTTCTCCTTCCCCATTGGACTTCGCGGCGTTATAATTTCTACGTCGGCATTTGCCCTTTTGAGGTTGGTCAGAGAGCCAGTGTCCCTGTGGTTCCTGTTTAACATACTCTCGGCATGGTGAGGGGGGATGACGTCATTGCCGCTTCCGTTTTTCCCTGGTAAAATTCGACTGGGATCTTGGCTCAGGTCAGTCAAAGACCTTAACGGTTCTCTGTGCGGGTTCTGGTTGAACATATTGTCTTCACTCGGCAGGAAGTTCCCCACAGCATACAGGCCCTGGCGTGGGAGAAGAAAACACAGGATCCCATTATGAAAAATAAATATTTGGATGTTATTGACATTCAGTGACTGTGTGTGCAGAAGCTAGAATGAGAATCCACTTTATGAAGTCTTGGTTCTAATATGTCTCGAGAGACCAACACAGACAGGCCAGCAAATTGCAGGACATTTCTGGAAATGTCGCCTTGACATATTTTAATATCTTGGGCATGCCCAGTGGGATTCTGTTCCCCGCCCTGCTCCAAACAACAGGCTTCACCAATTGTTTTGAAACATCCCATAATTTAAATTTCAAAAGTTGCTTGCCAGATGGGCTACTTCTGGGCAAGAAACATCAGCCTTTCAAAGCCCTTGCTGGGTGCTTGGGTTAAGCCAAACCATCCTCTGGATCTCGACCCCTGTGGGAAGCATCCACTGATGTTTCAACAGAGCTTACCTCCAAATCAAAAACCATTTTGAGTGCATCATTTACTAAACAATGTGGCTTAAAATGAAGAAGAATGGAAATAAAAGCAATAACCTACTAGAAATGCTATCATTTACCATTTAAGTTTGTGATAAGGTGATGATTTCTCATCATAATTCACCAGTAAATGAATTAGGACAAAAATCAATCCGAGGCAAGTTATCAACGTTGCTGAACATAAATTTCAAAGAATTCTCAAAAGATTATTTTTCTTAATGTAAATACTGCTATTTCATATTCATTTTCAGCTTTGGGATAATTCCTGTCCCTCACACTCAATTTTACAGTCACACCAGCCTGATTTACCGATCGTGGCCTCAACCTGATTAGTTTTCTGCTCAAAGGTTATGCCCTTTCTGTTGCTTAATAGCCATGTAATGCAATATCTTGGCGAGAGACAAATTCATCAGTTTCAAATCAATTTGTGCAGAACCTCAGCAGGAGCTTGAGCTTCACTCTATTTACACATTCAGTGGTCCATTAAAAAGAAAATGCATTGCACTCTCTAAGGACAAAAACAAGTCTCAAGTTTGAAGAACGCCAAGTTCATCATACGTGTACTCCAAATGGGCTTTATAAATGATATAAGGCTGCTACAGCTGGCCTTATCCATTTTAATGGTATCAGTGTTCAGGCACTTGTCTCAACGCGTGCTGGGTGGTGATTTTAGGCTGACTTTCCCCAACTTGGTGCCTTCATACCGCCTCTCCTGGTATGCCTTAAGGTCCACAAATAACAACACTTTGGAGGTCCCGAGCCTCAAGGAGGTTAGATTGGTTTCAACTTAGTTTCAACTAAGAAGAAGAAGAAGAAGAGGAGGAGGAGGAGGAGGAGGAGGAGTTTGGATTTGATATCCCGCTTTATCACTACCCTAAGGAGTCTCAAAGCAGCTAACAATCTCCTTTTCCCTTCCTCCCCCACAACAAACACTCTGTGAGGTGAGTGGGGCTGAGAGACTTCAGAGAAGTGTGACTAGTCCAAGGTCACCCAGCAGCTGCATGTGGAGGAGCGGGGAAGCGAACCCGGTTCACTAGATTATGAGTCCACCGCCCTTAACCACTACACCACACTAGCAAGGGTGACATAACTGGGCTTCTAAGGCTTAGAGCACAATGCCCCACAGCTGCAAAAAAGAATGCAGTTGGTCAAGGGAGCCATGGACTCAAAAAGGTTGAAAACCTCCGTTCTACAGTATCGCGCAGAACAGAATCTATTACAAATAAAAGTGAAACAAAATATTTCTTATTTGTACGGCATTTAGCTACCAAAACGCAGGCATCTCCGCACAATTCCAGTCTACTTACCAAATACAGGGCAATTCCACCTCCAATTAAAAAGCCACAGTAAACATCAACTGGGTGGTTTTTGTACTGGGTGATGCGAGTCAGTCCACATATAATCCCACAGATGATAAATGCAAATACTAGGAGCGGTTTCAGAAGTTTAGAGGAGTCGGTTAACGTGGAATTGAAGTACATCTTTAAAACAAAACAAAACATTAAAAAAAGCAATTTAGTTAAATCTCCCAGGTGGGATGGTTTGCTTTCTTGTTTCCTTAATGAGCTAGTAATGTGCCTCTCCTTAAGCCTGAAAGGTCCATAGCTTCTCATCCTGAGCTTTCGCTTTGAACTCCATGGAAACATGGAAAGTTTGTAGAAATTAACACAAACTTCTCAACTCTTTTCAGTTTCATTCATTTGATGCTGAGGTTAGAGGCATCTGATCTGCATTAATGTGAATTGGTGGCATTTTAAGAAGTACTTGACTTATTCTGAAATTAAAAAAAACCAATTTCATAAAATTTTACCCTCTAATTTCAGCCCTGATTTCCGCTTTTTTCTATTTCAGACCTCCCTAAATAAATAAATGGGGGAGCAGAGAAAAAGTTTTTTTCTGCTTCTTTTGTGGGGGGGACGCTTGGCATCTGCAGTCTCAACCTTCCTGCTTTAAACAAGACATGAAATGACATTCAGACTTTACCCTTTTGTCCATGTTATTGCAAAGAGGCTTAATTACTCACCGAAACGTACACAGCTGCAAATGCTGCCAGGGTGGCATGTTGCGAAGGGAATGACTTTCTGCAAAGGAAGGACACCCAAATTAAATTTCTCACTTAAAAATACATTCCGCAAGGGCTGATTTAAAAATAACCAAAGCACTGGGTGGTCCAGTATTGTAATCATATTTAACTTACAAGCTGTAATATCATCACGCTATACGGCTTTAAAAAAAAACCCCATTCAGTGTACTGGAGAGAATGTGGAATTTAGGCACCATTAACAGAGTAAACTTCTGGTCTCAAATAATGTGGGTTTTGATTTACGTATTGCAATGGACAGATTCTACAATTACACAGAAGAATCTGTAATGCACAACAATCTAGGAAAAAAAGGTTGAGTAATTATCGCCATTGGGTTGCATCCAAATAAATTCTGCTCAGAATAGACTTCTTGAATTAATGGACTTAATTCAGGATTAATGGACTTAATTCAGGTAGGCATCTGGGTTGGTCTGAAGCAGTCAAAATATATAAAAAAATGTCCAGCAGCACCTTAAGAGACCAACTAAATTTGTTCTGGGTATAAGCTTTAGTGCGCATGCATCTGAAGTATCTGAAGAAGTGTGCATGCACACGAAAGCTCATACCCAGAACAAACTTATTAGGTCCCTAAGGTGCTACTGAAAATTTATCTATCTATCTATCTATCTATCTATATCTATATATCTATATATAGTATCTATCTATCTATCTATCTATCTAGATATTTATAGTTATAGATATATAATGGATTTAAGTTAGGCATCCCCATTACTTCAAATGGACCTACTCTGAGTATGACTAATGTTGGGTGAAATCCATTAATTTCAACAGTGGAGAGATCTCTCTCCCCACTTAAGGCCAGGCTCATACATACATGTGTATCACTTGATTTCTCTATCCTTCATTGCTCCGTATGGGATGATTTGCAGCTAAATTGAGAAGCATGATGTGAATGAAAATGCATGTCTTGTCTGTCGGAGCTGTAATGGCCCTTTCACACATGCAAGGCATCACTTGATCTTTATCATGTGATCGGAACCGTATAATTAAATGATATTGATGCTTATCATTTGAACATAGATATAGGCGGATCTGCCAATTTCAGCTTCTTTCGCTATTTCACTTTTCCAGTCTTAAATTCAATTCTCCACATTTGCACATCTATTTGCATGTATGTGTGTGTGTGTGTGTGTGTGTGTGTATGCAATTTTCCCCAATAGTCCCATTTTGCAAAACATTTTTTCATCAAAGAGCACATTTTTGTATATTTTCACAAATGCATACATTTTTATGTGCATTTCGCACTAAATGTTCAGAAGCACAGAACTGTTTTGGGTGATAAAACAACTGCAAAGTGAGGCAGGAAAATTTTAGGGAGCAAGTGGCTGGGAATGATGCTTAACATCACTTTTTTTTTTGAACTTTTGTCTCTTGAAGCCACGTTTTAACACCCGCTTCCTCTTAAAAGAATGCAAAAAAAAAAAAAAAAAAAGGAAGGGGGAAAAAAGGCAATTGCTATAAAGATCCCCCGCCATGGGCAGGTTTTAAGAACTTCTGCCAAAAAAAAGTACAACTACTCTGTAAAGAAAAATGGTACTACTATGATTGGCAGAAAAGCGGCAGAGTGGAAAAGCGGCAGAATTTGTACTGACTTTTTGCACTTGGGGAATATAAATAGATGGCAACACATGGTATGTGATGTGTCCAGGGGAGGCACTATAGGTGAAATATACTCAGAGTCGAGAGTGGATTTCATGCTCTTTATTCAGCTCATAGTGGTGAGGAGGAATGGAAGTTCCCTCAGAATGTCCGCTTTATATACATTATTTACCCAATGGGCCCCACGTGATTGGCTAATTCCGGGATTCTCCTGTAGGCTAATCAGGTTGCGGGTTCACTTCCACCTGGAGCTGGATTGGGTGGCTCCCGCGGACCAATCAGAGTGCTGCATTTTGGATCCTATTCAACTCAGTACATAACATTAGGCAAAACAGGAAGTGCTGCCTTGCCCTGCTGCTGCTGCTGCCACCAGCATACCTGCCGCTGCCACTGCTGACTCTGCTGCCGCAGTGCACTCTGCCGCATCCGCTGTTGGAGGAGTGCTGCTGTCATCCATTTCAGGCAAGGTCGTGCCAAAATGGATACAATCTTTCCCAAAATCAGCGCTGGAAGTGGCAGGGCAGGAGGGATGTATTTAGGAGTGCCAATATGTGGGCTTCCGCTGCCTGAGGCAGCAGCCTCACCCTGCCTAATGCCTGGGCCAGCTTTGTATGCCAAAGTGATGGGAAGTCACTGTTAAGCACATGAGGAAGTAAGGCAAGGCAATGGCCTATCTAGTCCAGCACCCTGTTCTCACAGTGGCCAATCAGAAACCCACAAGTAGCACATGGACGCAAGAACACTCTTCCCTGCACTGGTTTCCTGCATTATTGGGGAGGCTCTGGGGAGTGAAGAGGTCAAGCCACATATTTGATGCTAGCCTTTCTGTGTTTGTCTTCTCTGAATAATTCATGCAATCCCTGCCCCAAATTTCAGTCCCCTCCTACGTATGTGTGTTGTAACTCACTCTACGTGGGGCTGCCCTTGAGATTGACCCAGAAACTCCAGCGGGTGCAGAATGCCGCGGCGAGACTCCTTACGGGGTCCTCGCCACGGGATCACATTCACCCGGTGCTATACCAGCTGCACTGGCTTCCGGTGGAGTACAGGATCAGGTTTAAGGTGCTGGTTTTAACCTTTAAAGCCCTATACGGCCTAGGACCCTCGTACCTATGGGACCGCCTCTCCTGGTATGTCCCACGAAGGACCTTACGGTCTTCAAATAAAAACATCTTGGAGATCCTGGGCCACAGGATGCTTAGGCAGGCCTCAACCAGAGCCAGGGCTTTTTTGGCCATGACCCTAATCTGGTGGAACGCTCTGTCACAAGAGACTAGGGCCCTGTGGGACTTGACATCTTTCCGCAGGGTCTGCAAGTCAGAGCTGTTCCACCAGGCCTTTGGCCAAGGCACAGTCTGACCCCCTCTCTCCTTCTGTAATCTTCATAGAACTCTAGCCTAATGGTTGCCATTAATTTGATTCTGAAGTGATTTTAGAATGTATTTCAATTAATTGACTGTGATTTTATGTAAACTGTGCTATTTTTACTGTTATTAGCCGCTCTGAGCCCGGCTTTGGCTGGGGAGGGTGGGATACAAATAAATTATTATTATTATTAGTCATTATGTTTTTATGGGGCCATCATCCCCCTTGAAGCCAGTTTCTAATAAACAATGCAGGGAGGTACCCACATCTCCTTTGCAAATCCCAGATGCACAACTCTCTCAAATAACTACAATGTGTGCAACCACTGGCAGCTCTAGATGTTAATCAGGGATCGTGAAGGAAATAACGAAGTAGCCATATCTCATTTCTTGGTCAATGTGAAGCTAGCTTTGGTTGGAGGAGCAGATCTTGCTCCTCTCCCCAGCCATCTTGCCATCTGTGCCATATGGCTTCATGAGAGCCAATGAAAACAGAGTCTGCTGTTATCTGCAAAGCTCCCCCCTTCATCTTGCTCTTCTCCCCTTGAATGCTGCTTCTTGGCTATATTAATGCATAATGGAGTTGGGTATGATATATCTAAATCATGAGAATGAAATTCATGTAAGCATGCCCAGGTCTTAGAAAAGCTTTCAGATATTATCAGAAAATTTTGGTCCACAGTTATGGATGAAAACAGATGGCAGCACATTTTTGACTGGGTTGTAGTAAGTGGCCTTAAACTGAGCCAGAACATTAATCCATCTAGCTCAGGATTGTTTACCTACACTGGCTCTCCAGAATTTCAGGCATGGATCTCTTGCAGCCCTCCCTGGAGATGATGGGGATTGAATTTAAGACCTTCTGCATGCAAGACAGATGTTCTACCACTGAGCTACAACCCCCCCCAAAAAAACAACCAAGACATAATAAACAATGAAAGATCATATTTTCCCCCTCCCCCATCTTTTTGTGTCTAACCTTCCATCATTGATGATGATGGGATCGGTTCCTGAGCAAATATCCTCCACGATGTAAGAATTTTCTGAGCAGGATACATTGAGTGATGTATAGTTAGGCTTGCATACAGTCAGGAAATATGGCGTTTGATACCCAGTTGACAGCTGTATGATGTCAGTGATGAGAGCTGTGGCACAAAGGCCAAAGACGTGGACACCTAGAAGTGAAGCGGGAGAAGCCTTAACATCTTTGGCCAAATAGATACAGCACTTCATCCTAGGTCAAGGGATGGCAAACTGGTGGCCTGTGGCCCAAATCTGGCTCCATCGAACAATTTCATTTGGTTATCGTATTTTAATCAATATGTGTTTTCACAGAGAGCAACGTGTCATGGCTTAAAGCTAAACCTCTCTTTAGATTTAGTATATAACAGCTCAGCTATATCTTCACATGCACACTCCACAATTGTAAAGTTCTCATAGTTAAATGATGCTTCATCATAAAGACTTGCTTCCCAGTTGGAGTTTGCTTGTGTAATAAAACATGCTTCTAGCCTTGGGATCATAATCTGGATAATAGAGTGCTTTGCCTCCCTTGGAATCAATAGAACAATGCCCAATTAACAGTGAAAAATGGATAAGGTCATTGGTGCAGTTAGGTAATTCTGTAATGGTTTTAAGGGATTTAATGGTTTTAAGGGAGCCTCCCTTCTTTAGAGAGTGGCCTGGTTCACACCATGGTTTGTTTAAGGCATGGTTTGTTTAACAAACCATGGGCTAGCCACAAGTTGTGCCACAGATGATCCAACAGGCTATGGCTTGTTTCTCCAAAGTCTGGTTTGTTTTCCCGTGGCTCTTGTATAACACCTTTGTAGTCAGGTGAGTGTCATACAAACCATGAGCAATGAAAGGTGCTGGATTCACACCAAGCCATAATGAAAACAATATAATATCACCAAGACAACTATCTGTAAACAAACAATAAACATCCATAAAAATGGCAAAAATAGTTTCCTTCCCAAATAGGTTTTATCTTAAACAACAGCAGATACAGTAAAGAAAGAGTTCACTTGTAATATATCAGTGGTTCAGTGCTCATTTCTTCTCTTTCCCAAATAGATGTTATTTTGAACAATAGCGAACGCAGTAATGAAGAGTCCATTTCTGATATAACAGTGGTTCAGTGCTCGGACATCATTCCAGTAATCAGACGTTTTGTTGCTGAAGAGCTTAGTCATCAAGCTTTGTAGTAAATAATATACAAGAGAAGACAGTATGTAAACGACTTAAAGCAGAGATATATCTGTCCCCATCTGCATGTTTCCATTGGGAGGAACATAGAAAGGGGACGGTGTCTTTCAGTTTGTTAAACCTAAAGAAGGCTGATGACTAAACTCTTTAGCGACAAAACGTCTGATTACTGGAATGACGTTTGAGCTGAACCGCTGGTATATCACAAGCGGACTCTTTCTTTACAGCACTTACAATTGTTTAATATAAAACCTATTTGGGAAAGAAACTATTTTTGCCATTTTTATGGATGTTTATTGTTTCTTTACAGATAGTTGCCTTCGTGGTATTATCTTGTGTCGACTGCAGTAGTCACTGTATCACCACCCTGTTCATTGTTTTATTATAATGAAAACAAAGCAAGGTTCTTAAGTCAACAAAAAGCATGGCTTCAGACTGTGGTTTGTTGGTAGTAAGCAAACCACAGTGCAGCTGCTGAGTGGGGTTCACATATACAAGCTAAGCCACAGTTCAGTAAACCATGGTTTAGTGCAGTATGCAAACCAGGGTGGCATGTGTATTATTTCACTTACTTCGAAATGTGATTAGCAAGATCTGCTGCGTTTGGGGGCTCTTCTGCTCAGTCTGGACTTCTCCCCAAAGTTCTGGCCTTGTAGCTCAACTAATTCTAAACATGTAATTTAGTTGCAAGCCGCAATGATTTTAACAAGACTTGCTTCCACCAAGTATTAATTTTACTTTCTATTTGTTGTTTCTGAATGTATTATATTTTTATTGGCAATAAAAGTCATATACCCAGGATAGCATGATTGATGTATCATAATTAGTTGGGTTTTTTTTAATAAAAAAAAAGGATATTTACATCTCTTCAACCATCTTACAGCAGGATACATGGTGCTCCCATCCACCTTTCTCCACAACAACCCTGTGAGGAGGGTAAGGTTGAGAGATGATGTTTGTCATCAAATGAGCTTCTTGGCTGAGTGGGGATTTGAACCTGGAGCTCTACATGTCTAGTTCTATACTCTTGTTGTTACACCACTTAAGCAGCAATGGGATGAGCTGTGCTGAGAAAAGTGGGTGGGAACTTTGTAAATGGACTGTGCAATAGTTTAATATTATAATGAAAAGGAACACATTATGCACTGTGGAAAATGGATACTGAGCACTTTGTGGTGTGAAGCTAAGAAATTGCTCAATATGTGTGGGTCCCCCCCCCAATGATTTTAGCTGTAGACTTTCATTATTTATTTCAAACAGCCATGCCAAATTAATATCACTGGCATCTGTGTATTTATTTCTCATTTTCTCTTGTAAAAGGGGATCTATAATAAGTCTTTTTTTTACAATCAAAATGTTGACTTTTCCTTATGATGTGTTATATTTACTGCCCATCAAGCAACCTCCTGATTTATTTATTTTTAGGCTAACATTTCCAGATGTCAGGGCCAATTCAGATATCCTTCCTAGACTGTACTATTTTATACTGCAGAAATATTTACAATTTTGAACATAAGCAAAGGCAGGGATTCCCACCTGTCCAGACTGGATGATACTGATGAGATTATATAACTTCAGAAATAATATCTTACTTTCCTCTTCCCTTCTCATCCCTTTCTCCCTTTTGTGTCATGCCTATTCGATTATGAGCATGTTGGTGGTCTCTTTTCATTTCTGTATATCACTTATGAAGATGTTTGACCCAGCCCTCATGGTACATTCTTGTAGATCTGAAATCTGACATGTCCTTCAATTTATTTTTTTAAAGAGACTAAAAGCTGCAAGATTCTTACAAATCAAAAACCAGAAATTCTTCAACAAAGGCATGAGCCAAAACCCACCAACAAATCGGACGGCTCTCCTAAGAAATGAGTTGAAGTTGCAGCCTCCCGCATTGATATTGGCCTCGGCTCCTATGCCATTCCGACGTTTTGAAAGGCAGCAGTAGAGAATTCCTTCACCCACCATGATCTGTTATGACAAAGGAAGAGTTCAAGGCAACGCTAGCAATTATGTAACCGGAGCATGATTTGTTTAGAAGGACTCATATATAGTCATAAGAGACCAAACTTCATTTGTGCCTGTTAACATTGTTCCAAGAACATGGCAAGGTTAGATGTAATGCATTTCACTGTCTTGAAAACTCATTGTTTTGCAAGGGAGATATTTTGATCTGTTGGGATAGGGACAGTGGTTGACCTTGGATCTGTTCCACCTCTCTAACAATGGCATGCTTTGGGGCTTCTTGGATTGATTATATATTAATATATTAATAAACACAATTAGAATATCTGCACCCACACCGTCCTCAAAAGAGCCCCAGGATCAGAATTTTTGTTTCACATCAACCCTCCCAGGTAGTTAGCTTAAGATACTAAGATACAATGTGATGCCCAAGGACACTAAATTAAACTCATCGCTGGGTGGAGAATTCACATTTTGAAATGCCTTGTTTTGACACTGCCATCAGGGCTGAGCTGTAATAACTTGCCCTGCTCAGTGACCAAACATGGAAGGAAGGAAACAAAAACACAAGGCTGGGTGAATTGGGCCACAATTATTTTAACGCAAACCCTGCAGAGGGGAACAATGGTGAGACATACTCCCTACTCATAACAAACTGCGGGTGAGCCAACCAGCCAAAGGGGAGGGGTACCACTTCATCTAACCTGTCCCTTAAGCCCCACCTTTCAGGTGAATAAAGAGGCCCCCAGGATTATAGGTTGATGTTACATGTTGGCCCCAAAGGTGCCCCTCACCATGCCAGTGAGTCCCACAGCCCTGAAGGTGAGTCTCAGAACTACAACTATAACTGTCTGATAACCTCTGGAGACATACCTGTCAATGTTTAACCTATTTAACCACCAGTTTAACCTATTTATTGGTTAATCTTTGTTCATTACATCTGCCAGCAAATCAGTACAGAATAGTGAAAAATAAAACCACCAAGGCCAATCAACTGTTGACTCCCCTCCCAATTTGGTCCTAAATGGTGACCAGCAATGCCTGTACTGAATAAAGGAAGGGAGGATGGGTAGAATGGGTTCAAGGCAGGCCAGGGCAGGCCTAAATAGCCCTGCATTGGCCCTAACCCCCACAATGGGACTGTGTGTGGGGCGCCATTTTGTCTATATAAGCAACAGCACTCACATAAACACTGGCAATAGAAGGCATGGTTTGGGGGCCATTCTAGAGTTAACATCCTTTAAGCCAGGCATGGACAAACTTGGCCCTCCAGCTGTTTTGGGACTACAATTCCCATCATCCCCGACCACTGGTCCTGTTAGCTAGGGATGATGGGAATTGTAGTCCCAAAACATCTGGAGGGCCGAGTTTGGTCATGCCTGCTTTAAGCTGACTGAATGGCTTGTGAGTATTAAGCAAAAATTGCAACAAGCTGTTCATGCACTGAGGGAAAAACTCAGTAGTGCTCCTTTGTTTAGATTATATCCTACCCAAAGCCTGAAACGACCACAAGATCAATGCTCAGAAACCTATGTTTGTTCTTAATCTCTCTTGCACCTACTGGAACGTAATAGTTCTCTTCAGTTCTTCATGGACTGTTAAAAACAACAACAACCACGCTCAAACCCACAACCTTAGAGTTGGTACGCATTTGCCTGTTCAACCCTTGATGAAAGCAAATTCATCCAAGGTGTAAAATGAGCTATTGGAGATTTAGCAGCGGAGACAGATGCTGGCATTCAAAATGCAGAACCTTTCCACACGTTTACTTGCCTGTCGTCAAGGAATGTACATGCATGAATATACATTTAATGCTCACTCTTTTGTTGTTGTGGGAGGAGATATAACCATAAAGAAATGGATTCTAATTACCAATAATCAGGGTGACCCCCATGTATTTTAAGTACGAAGCAACGCGGGCGAGGTGTTATTTATTTACTTCATGTTGAAGCTTTAATTAAAAGCTGTGGAAACCCATGACTGCTGATGCAGCAGACTTCCTGCTGCGTGGTGAGCGGAGAGTTCAGTGGTCTGACGTTGTTGCTAGCCCAATAACCTTCTCCCTGCTGCACTGTGTATCTTAATGGGCTTTTCTTATTTCCCCTACAGCAAAATAAGGGCAGCGGAGGTTGTATAATTCCTCAAGAATGCAGATGGCGAAAGGGACCTAGGGGATTCTATAAGCTGAGAGCTACTGTCAAAAACAGCTTCTGAAAACATGATCTGTCTCCACACAGCCATTATGAAGGTGTCACTTCGACCAAGAGCAACTGATGGGGATTCTTAAATTTGCGTTTTGTTTAACATTGCTCTCTAAAGCTCCATCAGAGCAAATGGCAATCTGCGGGAAACCCACTCTGATGTTTGCTCCGATTCTGGTTTTAAGAGTGGGTTTTCACAGGGAAAGCTGGGGGCAACAAACAGACAAACCACCACACTCAGACACAGAACATTAAAGTGCAGTCCTCTTACTGGAAAGAGTGAGGCAAAAAGCAAGTGTGGATAAGCCCTGGGGGAGTAGTTTCTGAATTATTTAGCCGTTATTGATTGCATTTATATCCTCCCTTTTTCTTCATGGGGCTCAAGGTGGCTTGCATGGTCCTCCTCATTTAATTCCCACAACAAGTCTGTGAGGTAGGTGAAGCTGAGAGTGAGTGACTGGATCAAGATCACCCAGTGGGGATTTGAACCCTGGTCTCACAGGTCTTAGTCTGACACTATAACTACTGCACCATGCTGCTCCTCAAATTAGGTGGATCACCTAATCTGGATGGGGTTGCACTCTTCCTGAAGAAAGAGGGGAACAGTTTCATCTATCTATCTATCTATCTATCTATCTATCTATCTATCTATCTATCTATGATCTATCTATCTATCTATCATCTATCTTTCTTCTTCTTCTTCTTCTTCTTCTTCTTCTTCTTCTTCTTCACATTATTGTACCACTCTTCACCCATAGATCTCAGGGCAATTCACAGCATAAAAAGACAACACAAAACACATAATAAATACAAAAACAAAACAACCACCACTACATCACTCTTGTATGCAGATATAACTATGCGACTCAAACATTTGCTGATCTACTCAAGCATTCCCTGATGAAAACGTGAACTCTGCTCTTCTGCTGATGTGCCAACAGTAGTTTGAAAGGGTGTTAAGAGGGGTAAGTGGGATGTTCTGCAACTCACCGTAATGGCAGGTGCCGCAAAAGCCAAGCTGAGCAACATCAGGAAAGGAACAGCCTCTTGTGAAGGTTCGATGTATGGCATACTGAGACTCCTGTCATAGCAACTGAATCCAGAGTGAACCGGCTTGAAGACATCCGTCAGCTCAAGGAAATAGAGGCTAACCACAGAGGAGGCCAGTATGGGCAACTGGGAAGGAAGGAAGGAAGAGGAAACTTGTTAAAAGCAATGCATACATTTTTTGGGGTCTCATCTGCAAGCCTATATAGCAATATATATATAGCCTATATAGCAACACGAGCAAACTTAAGATACAGAGTTGAGATGGCTTTGCAGCTGAAACAGGGCTAATCAGAGAGAGTTGCGTACCAATGCCCTGGGCCCCGCAGTTCCCTTAGATAATAAACACACAGACATGGATATTTTAGGTTTATGGGATAAATGAGGCCACAACTTTATTGGTTACAGATGTGAGCGGTTTGGATTAGGCATTGGGTGAAACCAGGCTATATCCTGACTCCTGCCCATCTGCAAGGAGTCTCACTAAGGGTAAACCACCAGTAGGGGGAGCCCTATGACATACGTCAAATCGGGCCACCCCACAGAATCCCCACTGGGGTCATGGCATGGCCCTAGCCCATGTCCAGGCTTCGGACAGGATTCACACCCCCGGATCCCTTTAACAGGATACCCTTATTGCCCCCCGGCTACATCACAACTGAGCCAGTGTGGTATAGTGGTTAAGAGTGGTGAAATCGTAATCTGGTGAACCGGGTTTGCTTCCCCACTCCTCCACATGCAGCTGCTGGCTGACCTTGGGCTAGTCACACTTCTCTGAAGTCTCTCAGCCAGCCCCACTCACCTCACAGAGTGTTTGTTGTGGGGGAGAAAGGGAAAGGAGATTGTTAGCCGCTTTGAGACTCCTTAAGGGGAGTGAAAGGTGGGATATCAAGTCCAAACTCTTCTTCTTCTTCTTCTTAAACGGCCTGCAGCCACACCCCCAACTGTACCAATTGGCCAGCTGGGGGTGTGACATGGCCAGGCACCAGCATGACACGTGCAGCATCCCTCCATCCTCTGGCTGGATCACTAAGGATCCCGGATGCCTGGCCACAACACTGCCCACCAGTGAAGGTGAGTGGACTTAGCAGCATACAGTGGTACCTTGGGCTAAGTACTTAATTCATTCCGGAGGTCTGCTCTTAACCTGAAACTGTTCTTAACCTGAAGCACCACTTTAGCCAATGGGGCCTCCCTCTGCTGGACACGCCGCGGGAGCACGATTTCTGTTCTCATCCTGAAGCAAAGTTCTTAATCCGAGGTAATATTTTTGGGTTAGCGGAGTCTGTAACCTGAAGTGTATGTAACCCAGGGTACCACTGTACTAAAAACAAAAACAAGGACAACCCAATTATCTCCCTCCTACCCATCACATTTTAAAAGGGCATCGGATGACAATCAGCCAAAGGCCTGGTCAGAAAGGAATGTTTTTGCCTGCGCTTAAAGGTGCATAATGCCTATGTGCCACACTCACTGCTGCCATGTGGCCTCAGAGGCTGGACCGAGTGCGAATTCAGCCCTCAGGCCAAAAGAGTTTTGCCACCACTTGTATGTAATAGACTTTTTAAAAAGAAAAAAGCCAAGGGAAAACCATGTATGTTTTCAAAGGAGAAGTTGCAGGTGGCTATTTGAACTTATGAATATTTATTGAGTGTGCTGCTTTGAACAGCAGGAGCATTGCAATTACAGGTATTAACTTCAAACACCTTGAGCATGTCCGATGTAATTAGATGGCATAATGCTCATTGCCTTAACTTCTCTGGACTCAAATTGGAATTTTAAAGGCAAACAGATACAAAAGAGAGAAGGGGCCTAATATCGGCAACTTTAACAGGTTGATGGAGAGCTAGCTTCTGTAATTAACCCTTGCTCCTGTTTGAAATTTACAGTGGGGGAAAAATAAGTGAAGCTTTAGTACAAGCTTTAGTACAGTGGGTTTATGGGAGATGCTTCTAAGTATTCAGTGACAAAACTGTAAGTTTGGGATCCTAATTTTCTGGAAATGCATTGTGCAGGAAACAGTAGCCCTTGATTTCAGGAGAATAGGAGGTGAAGATGATCAGTATAATTAATAAGCTTGTTTAACCTCAAAATTGCTTGAGTTCTTTTTAGTATCGCACAAGTGCCGTAATAATAAAAAGGACAAACATCGCCATGTTAATCCTTAGGAAAGCATAGTGAAAAGACAACCACCAAATCAAAAGTATTCAACATGAGGAATTATTCTACTACCGCTTCAGATGCTGCTGCCAGGTATTAATCACTCTCCCAACACAATGAAATTGATTGGCAATGGATGGAGGACTAAAAAGAGGATATACTTCACAAAATGCATACTTTTGTCTGTGGAATTTAAGATGACCACTCACATAGATGTAGCTTTCTAAATGGTTTAAAGAAATCCAAGGACAGGTCAATGAACAGCAGTGAGTTCTGAAAGTAGGATTGATGGCTCCATGTTTTAAACCAGTACACATCTGATTATTCCATACCTGGGGTCACCAGGGGGGGTTGCGACTGCGTGCTTCTGACTTTCATTGGCCAATCTGTCTGTCTGCTGTTGGAAACAAGAGTTCAAGGCTCCATGGATGTGCAGTGAACCTGGCAATTTATGTGGTTCCGCCAGAAGAAAATGTGATCAAGAGCACACACTTTTTACTTGCTTCCATGGTTTATCTACAGGGGTCAGCAAACTTTTTCAGCAGGGGGCCAAGTCCACTGTCCCTCAGACCTTGTGGGGGGCTGGACTATATTTTTTTGGGGGGAAATGAACCAATTCCTATGCCTCACAAATAACCCAGAGATGCATCTTAAATAAAAGGACACATCTACTCATGTAAAAACACTCTGATTCCTGGACGTCCATGGGCCAGATTTAGAAGGCGACTGGGCTGTATCTGGCCCCCGAGCCTTACTTTGCCTGTCCATGGTTTATCACGACAGGAACAAGGGTAGCCTCACATGAAGGTCCTAATCCACCCCCATCCTCTTCTGGCCCAGGGAGTTCAGAAACATTTGCTTCTGTTTTTAATTGATTGCAGCTTGCTGCATAGTTCAAATCCAACAAACTGTGGTTAAGCGTTGTTGTTGTTTAGTTGTTTAGTTGTGTCCGAATCTTCATGGCCCCATGGACCAGAGCACGCCAGGCACTCCTGTCTTCCACTGCCTCCTGCAGTTTGGTCAAACTCATGTTGGTAGCTTCGAGAACACTGTCCAGCCATCTCATTCTCTGTCGTCCCCTTCTCCTTGTGCCCTCAATCTTTCCCAACATCAGGGTCTTTTCCAGGGAGTCTTCTCTTCTCATGAGGTGGCCAAAGTACTGTAGTCTCAGCTTCAAGATCTGTCCTTCCAGTGAGCACTCAGGGCTGATTTCCTTCAGAATGGATAGGTTTGCTCTTCTTGCAGTCCATGGGACTCTCAAGAATCTCCTCCAGCACCATAATTCAAAAGCATCAATTCTTCGGTGATTAGCCTTCTTTATGGTCCAGCTCTCTGAGTTGTTCAAGCCCCTTCGCCACGACATGATCCATGAAGGAGTGGTTAAGCATAACTATGGTTTATTTTAAACTAGCCAGCTTCCAACTATGATTTATGATGCTGCCTTATTTCAACAAATCATAATTTAGGTTAGTGTTTGGGGGCTGCACTAAAATGTGCTTACTTGATCTCCTAGCAGCCATGCTGCAGGAGAAGCAGAGGTGAGAATTAGGATATCCAAACAGGCACAGAGCCCAAACTTTTAGAAATTCTCTGACAAAAAAAAGTAAGCAAGAATTAATATCCTGAAGTTAAATGAGGGGAAGGACTTTGTGGAAATGCCCTGAAAAATACTCTGGAATTGTTCATGGTTCTGTTCAACCTGCCCTGTCTTACCCAGCTTCTGCTGCAGTTCTTAATATTGAGTGAAGCGAACTAGTGACTACAGAGTTTCTTGCTACACATACACAAGCCACCCACTATTTCTCTTCCCAATTTGATTGACAAATATACATGCAAAATGATTAAGTAAAAGATATTTATTTCAGAAACACACTTGTGCTGCATTGCTTTTTTAAAAAATAAAAAATTATCGACATAAATACATACAAAACACAGTAAACAGTTTATTTATTGCATTAGCCGAGTGGCCATAGCATGATATACATTGAAATAACAACATAAAATGGGGGTGGGGAGGTAGAGGTAGACATCGTCCTGGGCGAATACTTAAAGAAAGTGAAAAAAAAAAAAAAAAAGCTGCTGGGGCTGGAGGAGGACCGTTAAAGGGTCCTTCAGCTCCTCAGATTAGTCCTAACTCGATTGTCCTTGTACAATAAGGCTACTTGGAACTTCGTTCGGTTGTGCGGCGTATCGACTGCATCTGTGGTGTTAAGGAAGAAGTTAGTGCCGCTTTCCTCTTCATCACACTAAGCAGGAAATTAGCTGTCATCTCAGTAATCCAACAATCAGAATCCTGCAAAAAGAGGGACACTATCCAAGGCTGGATTGGGAGATGGAACTTATTCACGAGGGAGTTAAAAACCGAGATCTTTCATCTGTCCAGTTGGGACAGAAGAGCATTACATGTTCCATAGTCTCCAGGGCCGTGTCATTACAGGAGCATGTTCTGTTTGCGATGGGAACTCTGGAATAACGACCCGACAGAACTGCTGTAGGAAAACAGTTGAGACGGGCACAGGTAAAAGCCCTTCGCTTAGTCTCCGAAGAAATTGTGAAGCAGTATAGAGGGATCCCTTCAGGGGTGGAATAGCTAGGGCTAGGCCTGAACACGGTCCTCTTGCACAAGAAGCTGTGTTGGAGAAGTCAAGTTGCTGTAGTTTCTTTTTAATTAGGGGTAGGGCCACCGGGCTGATACACTCTAAGTTAAGAACAGTTTTACAATTCAGATTGAGAAGAGAGCGGAATTTGAGGTTAATTGTAGTTTTCCAAGGGGAATTATGAATATCTCTTAGGATCAGATTGGAAAAGCCACCTCTAATTCGAGCATCCGATGCTAATAGGTGGAGGGTGTAGGAAATGGCTCGGCTCCATGCTCGTCTAGCAATTGAAGGCTGGGCGAACTCGAGTCGTAGGGCTGCACCTGAGACACATCTCGGGACGCCGGAAAGAGATCTCAGAAACATATGAAGTGGACGATCCAGGTTACCTGATATTGCTGTAGTCCATACTTCACATCCATATAATAATTTAGGGACGACTTTGGCATTAAATATTTGAATTGCTGCTGGAAGGTGTTTGCCGCCCTTCTGGTGGTAAAATCGGACAATGGCGTTAGAGGTCGTGGTTGCAGCGAGAAAGGCAGATTGTAGATGGGTGGTCCAGGAGAGATTATAGGTGAATATTAATCCTAAATATTTAAAGGCTTTTACCTTTTCTAAGTAGCCACCTGTGATCTTAAGCGGCTCCAACTTGAGTTTGCGGGAGCGAGTGAAGTGGAGGACTTTCGATTTTTATAATTAATATTAAGAGCTTCCGCCTTACAATAGGCGATAAATGCATTAACTGCATTTGCTAGATCCGCAGCTGTTCTGGATAAGATGACGGCATCATCAGCATAGAAAAGGGAAGCAACGGGGTGGCCTGCTAAGTGAGGAGGATACTTAGATGCTAGCTTCAAAGTGGAAATTGCATCATGAAGATAGAGATTAAACAGTAAAGGGGCCAAGAGGCAACCTTGTCGGACGCCCTTGGCCGTTGGAAATGGAGTAGTGGGGAGCCGTTTGGACTAGTTCGGACGCGAGCTGTGGTGTTTGAATAAAGGGAGATAATTAGGGAGAGAAGGTGCGGATCAATTCCCAGATGGGCAAGTTTGGACCATAATCTCTGCCTAGGAATGGAATCAAAGGCGGCCTCCAGGTCCATGAAAGCGGCAAATAGGTGGCCTTGCCTTGGAGCAGTGTATTTACTGGCAAGGTGAAAGAGAGTTAGACAATGGTCCATGGTTGACGCTGACTTTCGGAAACCAATCTGTTCTAGCGGTAGAATGTTCCTCTCCTGGACCCATGAGAGAAGTTCCTCCAGTAAAACAGCGGCAAATATTTTCCCGGGATGGTTAATAAGCTGATGGGGCGATAGTTCCTAGGGATGTTTGGCTGGCCGCCTTTGAAGATCGGAACTATTATAGCTTCTCTCCAGGAGTCGGGGATGTCTAGGGCGGAGGAGATAGCGGTGAATACAGGAGTCAGGTGTTCGCTCCACCAAAGAGGATCAGTCAGGAAAAGGTACAAAGGTACCATGTCTGGTCATGCGGCCATATACATATGCATTGACATTATGATGTTGAAAATGCGAGTTGGAGTAAAGTTTATTGAAGAAGTGGGACTAAGAGAGCAGGAACTGAGGTCCAATGGGGATTGAAGGAGATCTGTAAGATGGTTTGGAGAAGCGAAACTAGTTGAATAATAAGCAATCCATTCATCCGCGGAAATCTGGGTAGCTGGATTGAATGGTGCCGAAGGTCTAACTAGGCGCCAGAAGGAGCGGGAGTCATGCCTCTCTACAGCCGAGCGAAGAGTGGACCAAGCCTCAAAGATGTACTGCTGTTTCTTGCAATGAATCATGTTTCTATATGTCCTTTTAATATCTATGAGCTTTGCACGGGTTTGGGGGTCGTTGGAAGATTTGATGATTCTGACCATTTTCCTAATTCGCCTTCTTAGGGCTTTACATTCCTTGTCAAACCAGGGCGATTCAGAGAAGAGGCGTTGGTAAGTAGGCGAGGTGGTGGTTATGTAAGTTGTTGAGAAAGCATCAAGTAATTTCCGGTATTGGTCAGCGGGCAGGATTGGATCAGAGGGAACTGCAGACATATCAAATGATTTTTGTATGTCCAGGGCAAGAGAGGAGCTGAGGCTTGTCCATTTCTTTGTTTTGTATACAGGGTGGCTTTGTACCATGGTTCTATAGTTTGAGGAGACTGGGAGTGGCTCTATTAGGTTTAACATTAGAGTCAATGGAAGGTGGTCACCACCAAAATATTCAGCCACTTCCATTTTTGTAGAAATTGAGAATAGCTCCGGCGTCAATAAAATGTAGTCGACAACACTGGTTCCCGGGAAGTGATGCACGTTAATTGCTGCGAGGACAAGGGAGTAATGTTACCATTTGCGATGCAGAGATCGTTTTCCATGGCCAGTTGGGCCATCAGCCTCCCGACGCATTTGTTATAGGATCAAGAGAGCATCTGTTTCCCCAGGGGGGCTGCAGGGGATTGTCCAGGAGTGCTGCGGGAGATATTATATCATCGTCGTTGGGACCTATTCTTGCATTAAAGTCGCCTAAGAGGATTTGAGGGAGTCCTGGGTTAGTTGTTTGGAGATCATGGAGCCAAGACGAAAGTTCAGACCACCTTTCATTGCGGTCGAAATCATTAATTGCTGGGGGCAGATATACTGTAGTTATCAACCATGGGCTTTTGGTCTTTGGGAGATGAATCTTTATGGTGAGAAAGTAAGCTGGTTGAAATAAGACAGGCGAGGCCAACTTGGGGGCGACCCCTGTTGGTTAGTTTACTGAGCACAGGAGCTAAAGGAGCAATAATTTGGGAGAACAATACTTTGTTGGGACCAGGTCTCTTGGAGGCATACAATGTCGAAAGAAGAGATGAAATTCATTGCTTCAGGATCCATTTGCTTTGTCGCCCAGCCGTTAACATTCCAGGAGACAATTTTAAGGCTCTGGGGTAGGTTGGGTGCGTCTTTCAAGGAAACAACTGCTTTTGCTTGATTTGTGAGTGAGGGTTGAGTCTGTTCGTATCTAATGATATCGGATTTCCGCGGAGATAGGGAGCCGGCTGGTGTTTGTCTCTGGTCTAATCTTTGTCAATTATTTCCCAAGGTGCTTTTAGGGATTACTTTTTTATGAGCCGGCCCATTGCTCTCCATACATGGCAAACTAGCCAAATGTTCTATAGTTTCGGCTGTTAACTGTTGAATACTGACATTAGTGGTCACCGGGCCTTTGAAGTGTGTTATCTCTTTCCGTAGGTGTTTTTCCGGAACCTGATTGTGGCCTAATTCCGCCTCATCTAGATACCTCAGCTTGTCCCAAGAGCCTGGTGAATTCACCTTCGGGATGGTTCTCTTTATTGGAGGTGGTGTAGTGTTCTCTTCAGTGTGCTGGGCTTCCTTAATTGGGAGTAAATTAATCTCAGCCATTGTCTGAAGGTAACATGGCCGACAGGCCGCTGGGTTTGGTTCTTGTGTAGGGTTCAAATTATAGGAAGTCTGGTCCTTTTTAAGGGCGTCCATATTGATTTCCTTGTTTGTATCTCTACAAAACACAGTAAAAGTAATAAGTGTAACCAATACAACCCTTTTAAATATGAGATAGTTGAATGCTATATTGTATTCTCAGTTGCTTTCAGGTTTTCCTCCCTATTGCATCGTTGTTTTATTTTTTCTGTCTCTGCATGCGTTTGTATTGCATTGCTTGCTTGTGCTCTCTCCCGGTTTCTCTCTTTCTCTCTCTCAGAAGGCCATAAATGAAATGCAAAAGAAATAAACAAAAGCTCTCCAATGTAGGAAACACTACCTGTTGCTTCTCTGGTTATCAGAACATGCTGAAAGCTACAAGGAAATCTGGCCTTCAAAGAAAGAGCTCTAAGCATGCTCAAAACAGATCTATCATTCTGATAGGTTACCACATCGTGCAGGAATGCATTAAACAACTTCCCTGTACAGGGTTGCCTTCAGATGTCTTCTAAAGTTTGCATAGTTACTTATCTCCTTGACTCAGAGGTCACAGAACTCCATACCCTCCAACACTTCTCCAATGACGTGCACTGCTCTGGTTCGCCAGAAGCGGCTTAGTCATGCTGGCCACATGACCTGGAAGCTGTACGCCAGCTCCCTCAGTCAATAAAGTGAGATGAGCGCCGCAACCCCAGAGTCGGTCACAACTGGACCTAATGGTCAGGGGTCCCTTTACTTTTACCTTTAAGGGAAAGCAGGACATTCCAAGATCAAATCAGAAACTGGGGCGGCTTGTGTAAATCCGGAACTGTCTCTGGAAAATAGGGACACTTGGAGGGTTTGCTAACCTGATCTGAGGCTGCTGGATTGTCCTAAACAGAGAGGGGTTGGAACCTGCCCAGGGAGGGAGGGGAGAAAACTGAAGGTCTAACAGCAAAGAGTTTAAGTGCTGTGTGTGTTCTGGATCTAACCGAAGCCTCAATGAAATAAAATTCCTGGTGGCTGCTTCTCTCACATTGGACATACTTAGAAGAAGAGAGTATAACTGCCAAACATGTAGCCAGCATAGGCCCAGATCTTGTACAGCAGCCATCAGATGCTGTTCTGATAAAGGGAATTTTTTTGAACATAGCAAAGGGCAGGGCTAGTGCCTTTCCTTCACTCCTTGACACTCCTGAACACACATCTTCTCTAAATGAAATGAAATGGGTCAAATCAGCATGTAACCTAACAGCTGACAGGAAGCTCCTGTCCAATTCAGGCAGTGGCAGGTCCATCAGCTGCAGTTACAGAGATGCCTCCTTCCCTTGTCGGCTGTTCCCTGTCTGTTCCCTGCCTCTTCCACCAGCTACTCCAGATGCAAAGTGTCTATGAGCAAGTACGTTCCATAGATGGGTAAGAACTCATCTTTGGGCTTCTACGCTACATGCTTATTTATAACTTATATAGTGACATAGTGCTGTACACAGTACAAGAGAGCAGACTCCAGTCCCTAAAGTTTACCATCTGACATGGGAGAAAGAGAGGAAGATAGGGAGAGGAAAGTGGAGGTAGGAATGAATAAAAAATAAGGCACAATTCCACCATCACACCAATTGCACACACTGAAGTTTAAGTTATGTGCTTTATATTATGGACAGCATGCTATGGAAAAGCCAGTTTTGAGAATAAGGCACTCTTTGCATTCTCAGAGACACTTGAAACAGCATGTCTGTCAGTCAATCTTACTCACTGGTCAAGCATTTGGGGGACTGAAGCATACAGCTTTTAAAACAGGAAGATGTTGCTTAGATAGGCTTTTAAATGTCCACTGCTTTAGAAGCTTTGAAACACCACAATTTAAAAATCACAAGTAGAGTTGATGCAGGTATGGTAGCAACCACAACCTTCAGATTTGCTTCTGGAATCCCCCCGTGTCCCATGGTGCTAAGCGTAGAGGAATGCAACGCTGCTCACATGTGATATTGGCACTGCAAGAGTTAATTATATAATTTACCTCCTTGCTTTCCACCTCCCCCTTTGTAACTCATCAAATAATCTGTGTCCTTGTAACTTTCCCTGCAACATGTGAGGACTAAATCCCACTCCATCTGGAGGATAAAAAAACCAGACTTCTGCATAATTTCTCCCCCCCCCCCCACTTTTTCTAATATGACATAATGCAATAACAAAGGAACAACTTGCTATTTGCAGGATAATGAATGATCGAAACAGGGTTTGTTCCCTTAACGCTGTATCCATGCTGGCATTTTAAAACAAAGGAATCACGTTCTTTTTCTTTTTGATGCACGCACGCAGACCAAAGCACAGTCGTCACAACTTTGCTTTGCATATATGTGCATGCGCAGCCCGCATACATTAATGATCAGTTTTCACTTCTGATCCTGTGCACAGGAGGTGAAAGCAAGAAAAAAAGAAACTCATACTTATCAACGGCATATATGCAAGTGTTTGCCTTGTTTATATGATTGGATAGGTTTCAATATTTGCCATTTTTCTCTAGACCTGTCAGTATAAAGTGCTACGGTGGTACTCTCAGGGGCATAACTATGTCAGAGACTAATGAAGAGAGCCTCTCAGTCAGATGGCTTTCAATGGGGGGCGGTTGACAAATGCAAGTGTGTAAGGCTATCATGGGCTAGTACTAGTCCAGGTTCAAAGATCAAAGAATCATAGAATGGTAGAGTTGGAAGGGACCCTGAGGATCATCTAGTCCAAACCACTGCAATGCAGGAATATGCAGCTGTCCCAAATGGGAATACGCAGCTGTCCCATATGGGGATCAAACCTGCAACCTTGGCATTACCAGCACAATGCTCTAACCAACTGAGCTATCCTATCAGGGATAGAATAACTCTGAATCCCAATTCCTCTGGAACCACAGAAGGAGAGGACAGTTGCTATCATGCCCTGCTTGTGGCCTTCCCAAGAGACATCCCATTGTGGGAATCAAGATGTTGTGCTAGATTAGCCTTTGGTCTGATCCAGTAGGCATCTTCTTTATGGTTGAATAGCATTTCCCTTTTCTTAAGGAACCCTTCGAACCATTGTTCCCTGAAGGGTCCCGGGGGTCTGGTACAGAATCATTTGCCTCGTGAGTAACCTAGGATCCCCAAAATTCTTGTTATGTCCATTAAACTGGCCAATATAGATCTATAGTGTGGGGGTGTCCTAAGACTGTACAGTGGTACCTCGGGTTACATATGCTTCAGGTTACAGACTCTGCTAACCCAGAAATAGTGCTTCAGGTTAAGAATTTTGCTTCAGGATGAGAACAGAAATTGTGCTCCGGCAGTGCAGAAGCAGCAGGAGGCCCCATTAGCTAAAATGGTGCTTCACATTAAGAAGAGTTTCAGGTTAAGTACAGACCTCCGGAACGAATTAAGTACTTAACCCGAGGTACCACTGTATCACAGTGCCAAGAGGCACTGCATGACCCTCTAGTGAGTGTTTCCAGGCCAAGGGTATAAAATCAATGGCCACAATCCTGCACAAGGCTAGGTGTACTTCACTCCCCATTGATTTCATTGGAAGCTTCTCAGTAAATTTAATGAAGCTGGCTTGGGTGCTCAATTTGCAAGACAGAGAGTGATGAGGCAGGGCATGGCCTGAGTTGGGCATAAGTCCAGACACATTTATTTTCGCTGCCATGACTCAGCCTTGGAATTCGTGAAGTGAGACGTTAATCTATTTCCATGAGGTTGAGGGTTTCCCAAATCCTGCTACTGCTTTTTCCAGACGATGCAGCTTTTATTCTCCAGGAATATATTGCAGAACATGCTAGTGCAGCTTCTTAAACAATACACGGTTGGACAGGCCAGTTTGTTTTAAATACTATTGTTCTGACAACCACAATTTGGCTTAGCTTGTTCTTTGACGAGTGACATGTTTTTCCACTTTATGATCATTACCTTAAACCCACTTAGCCCAACTGCTTCTCACTATGGATCCTGAGGATGTCCACTCTGCTTGGTTACATCATTCCTCCTTCCCAACTCTAAGCAATGCAGAGAGCAAGGCCAGCTCCAGACAGGTAGGGATGCTTATGAAGCAGGTGTGCAGCTCTGCGGGTTCCTGACTTAATGCAATTTTGCCTTTGCATGTGGATACATGGACCTGAACCCTCGCTTAAGTGGCAGCCCCACTGTAATCCATTGCTACACACACAAAGCTATCGTCTTCCTTCTGCAAAATGTACACAACAAAGTTACTTCATGTCCTTCAGAGAGCACATTTCCTTGGTCCACACTGGTGTGCAGGAGAAGCAGAACTGCATGTCATCAGCATACTGCTGACAACGTACTCAAAACTCCGGATGACCCCACTCAGCGGCAGTGTTAGAAACTGAGATATGAAAGCTAGGAGCTGAGTGGCACATTAAACCGAGGTTATAGGCACCACAATGGAGTGTTTAGGTGGGCTCTTTTATAACAAGAATGCAAAGCTGAAAATGAATGAACTGCAGCTAAAATCTTATGTTCGTTTTTCACATGGCTTAGTCCTCATCTGAAGACTGCAAAAAACAAAGCCATACTTCCCCTGCCTGCCCCCCTAATATTCTTATGAGGGTCCCTTCTCCAGTCTTCAGAGAGTGGATGGAAGTGAGGAGGCAGAAAAGGGTCTTCTTTTTCTTCCAGCAGTAGCAGTTTTAAACTGAAATCTTGGGCTCAGTACTGTGCCCATAGCTCAGAAACTGCTTGCATTAATGAAACTCCCCATCGCAAAACGCACCTAGAACAATGGGAGTTTTGAACGCTGCTCAGCGGTTTCATGTAGATGTTAAATAGCATAGGGGATAAAACTGAACTCTGAAGAACTCCACTCCTATGGTACCACCTCTCCTGGTATGCCCCGCAGAGGACCTTAAGGTCCACAAATGAAAACACTTAGGAGGTCCCAAGTCGCAAGGGGGTTAGATCGGTCTCAACTAGGGCCAAGGCCTTTTCAGTACTGGCCCCAACTTGGTGGAATGCTCTGTCACAAGAGACTAGGGTCCTGCGGGACTTGACATCTTTCTGCAGGGCCTGCAAGACAGAGCTGTTCCGCCTACCCTTTGGTTTGGACTCAGTCAGACCCTTATGTTTCCCTCCCCTTGTGGTTTTGATCTATGAGCTACTTTTAAAATGAGGCTGCATTTTAAATTGCATTCTAACCTGTATTTTAAATTGTCCCCCCCTATTGTGTTCTTACTGTAATTTTACTGGTGTTAGCCGCCCTGAGCCTGGCTCTGGCTGGGGAGGGTGGGGGTATAAATAAAATTTATTATTATTATTATTATTATTATTATTAGCTCCATGGGGCTGAAAAGCACTCCCCAAGCATCACCCTCTGGGAGAGACCATCCAAGGAGGACCGGAGCATCCACAAAGCAGTGCCACCTACCCCCAACTCAGACAACCTCTCCAGAAGGATATCAAAAATATAAAAAAATGGTATCAAACGTCACTAAGAGGTTGAGGAGAATTAACAAGGTTATGTTTCCCATGTCTCTCTCTTATATAGGGTCACATCTATCCAGTCTAGGGAACCACCCACTAACAATGCCTCAATCTTATCTGGATTGAGCTTCAGTTTATTGGCTCCCATTGAGTCTGTTACCGAGGCAAGACAACAGTCTAACACATCCACTGCGACACCCACAGATGTAAAGTGAACTGTGGGAGGGAACTGATTTTCTGTATCCATTTCAATGTGAGGTTGCCTGCTCTTATAACAATAATAAATATTTTTATTTATTTATACCCTGCCCTTCCCAGTTCAAAAACTGGGCTCAGGGCAGCTAACATCAAATTTAAAACACTTAATTATAAAAGCAGCATAAAATACAGTATAAAAACATGAATAACAATAAAATTCAAAAATCAATTTAGTGGAAATAAGCATTAGATAATCCCCAGGGCTAGCTGGCTGAATTGGTCCTACTTGGGCCAGCGAAGAGGCCAGGGGAGAATTAGCTGTGGGGTCTCTGAGCGGGTGATCTTCATAAAAGGGTAGGGGTAAGGAAGAGAAGGGAAATAAAAGATCAGGCTGAATTCAAATTAAAGGCCAGGCAGAATAGTTCTGTCTTACAGGCCTGATGGAAGGAAGTTAAATCCTGAAGGGCCCTAGTCTCATGGGACAGAGCAATCCACCCTCCCTCTGAAGTGGTGGTTATGGAGCTTGGGAGTACTCCTGGATCGATCCTTTGTGGTTGCTTGAGGCTCAGGTGGCCTCGGTGGTGCAGTTGCCTTCCATCAGTTTTGGCTGGTGGCCCAGCTGTGCCCTAATTTGGGAAAGGAATAGCCTAACTTCTGTTAACCTCTGGATATACAAATTTAATGACTAATTATAACAGGCCCAGTGCTCTGAAACAGGCAGCTTTCACTTGCCTAGAAAGCACGGGTCTGAGTGGTTTTCCGCTTTCCCCATTGCTTTGACTGGGAAAATCCGCTCTTTAGTGTTGAATTGGCACAAACATCAGTCCATGGAAAACCTGATAGAAGTTTGCTCCAATTCAGCTGTAAATATTGGGTTATCCCAGTGGAAAGAGGCAGGACAAGAAGAAGTCTAGATGAGCCTAGGCTGCAATCAAAAGAAAGTTCAGCACCATGGACAAGGACTATAGTGCTGCTTCAGCACCATAGGCAGAAGTGCAGCTGTGGAGACAGAAAGAGCAAATGATCTCAACATAGGGATGGATCAAGTGGGAAAGAGCTTGATAGTAAAAATCCAAAATTTAGAAATAATTACTACGATTTGAAAAACAAAACACAGTACAAACTACAATAATGGGGGAAGAGTGTGACCAGGTGACCTCAGTTGCTAAACCCTGATGGACGAATTTAAGGTCCCTGCTAGCCCTTTTTAGGATTATCTGTCCTTAGATTAGACTTGGACATGTCAAATAAAGGCCGGCTCTCTGTAATATAGGTCACCAGTTTGTCTGTATGCAGGGCAAAGCCCTCCCAAGGCAACTTTGCAAACAAGACATAAAAGCTGAAGCATCTCATTACAGTAAAACTAAACAATTAAAACAGCAGCATTTAAAAAAAAGGATTAGACCAATTCATGAGGAGAGGGCTATCAAATGTTGTGCTTAGTATGAAATAAAAGCCAGTGGCCTGATCCAGAAGGCTATTCTTATGCTCTTATTTCATACTAAGCACAACATTTGTCTATTTATTACTTAATATCCCTCTCTTAAACCTGAAGGCTCCCAAGCTGGTTGGTATATGGCAATTCATAAAAATACCTCATTGCAAACCTTGTAACACAAACAATATAAATAGAACAAAAATCAATATAATAAAATGACTAACATCAGAGAGAATCCAGCAGCAACTTATGTCTCACACGAGCCATTTATACTTGTCAGGGTTGTGGATGAAGGATCTGTAAATGAAATCTTCTCATTGCCCTGAGAAGAGAGATCCACCAGATTTACCAGGGGGATCTGAAAAGAACTCTTAGCAACTTGAAATCCTGTTCCCTAGAAGTCAATGGCTGCAGAAAATTGCACTGAGCCTTTGACTGACCAGATGCAGCATTTCATATCTTTGATCTTGACCACCTAGCCCAGATTACAAAGCTCTGGAAGTAGATCCAGGACAATTTTCTCTATCTACTTCAGCTGCTCGACTTCCAGCTATGATCCTGCACCTACGCTTATACATGGTCCTGAACTTGCTTTTGTTTCTAGCCCATATCCTCAGATATATGGTCCTGAACTTGCTTTTGTTTCTAGCCCATATCCTCAGATATATGGGCCATCATCTCTTCTCAGTGGTGGACATCACAATGCACCAGGACAACTCTCATATAAAATCAACGTAAGCAATTAAGAAAAAAACATTTCTTTAAAACCAGCAACAATGTAAATGGTTTGAAATGGTAAGCGCAACACTGCGGCTCAAGGCTGCTTCAAGTAAATGAGTTTTCAAATCTTGTTTGAAAGTGCATTGGGGCCAAACGTATATGTTCCACATATTTGAGGCCCTGTCTCTAGTGACTGCCAATATGCAAGCTGCCTCTGGGAACAAGGACACACTAGAGCTATGAAACTGCCGGCAGAAGGCCAGAGGCATTTCTCCCAAGCAACCTGGCAAGTGGTTGAACCAAGGTTCATGGGGATACCATGAAAAAAGCCACTGACTCATGGGTATACTAAAGCAATAGAAGGTATATTCGTATATCTAGGCACCAGTTTCCCCAGTACTGGCAAACTGATTCCAGCACCACGTTTTCAGCAAGTCACGTGTTCTTGGGCTTTAAAATAAAATAAAATGAGGTAGTCCTTGGGTTGGTTGCATTTTTGACAGACTTATAAAAGTGAGCTCCCAACAGGCTTCCAAATGTAGCAGCTTCAGAATATTATAACATGAGTGAAAGCTGGTGGGCTGAATCCATCCATAGTTAAATTCATGTCACGAACATGTCTGCCTTTGTATTAATTCTGAAACCATCTCAACTGTAAGAGCCGCACAGAGGCAAAGGGTTGCGTCTTCCAGACAATTTATGCTATCCTTTGTCCATGATTATAAACCGAACACTTCTCCCCCCTTATCTTTGCCTTCCCTTTGAATTTACTCTGAGCCTTGTTGTCAAGACCATGTGGGTGGCGACACTGGATAACTGCACTGGCAACCTCAGTGTTTAAGCCTTAAATGGAGTCAGGATTCAACTTAAGTGTTGTATACCTTGTAGGATCTACAAATACAGTGGTACCTCGGGTTACAGATGCTTCAGGTTACAGACGCTTCAGGTTACAGACTCGGCTAACCCAGAAATAGTACTTCAGGTTAAGAACTTTGCTTCAGGATGAGAACAGAAATCGCGCGGCAGCAGCGGGAGGCCCCATTAGCTAAAGTGGTACCTCAGGTTAAGAACAGTTTCAGGTTAAGAACGGACCTCCAGAATGAATTAACTTCTTAACCTGAGGTACCACTGTAACATTGTTGTTGTTGTTGTTTAGTCGTGTCCGACTCTTCGTAACCCCCTGGACCAGAGCACACCAGGCACTTCTGTCTTCCACTGCCTCCTGCAGTTTGGTTAAACTCATGCTGGTAGCTTTGCGAACACTGTCCAGCCATCTCGTCCTCTGTCGTCCCCTTCTCCTTGTGCCCTCAATCTTTCCCAACATCAGGGTCTTTTCCAAGGAGTCTTCTCTTCTCATGAGGTGGCCAAAGTATTGGAGCCTCAGCTTCACAATCTGTCCTTCCAGTGAGCACTCAGGGCTGATTTCCTTCAGAATGGAGAGGTTTGTGTGGACAAAGACAACTGTAACATTAGCAGAGGGTAAGTATCTTAAAGTATCAGCCCAGGTAGATCTTTGGGTTTCCCCAGCTCTGCTCTGAATATGAACCTCAAAAGAAGTTCAGATCCTATTTGGATCTTTCACCAAGCAACTCACATCTCTGCCAGAGCACCTAATTTTCTGACCCTGGGGCCAGAAGGCCCGGCTTTTCTGTTGGAGGTTAAGGATTCTCTGCATCTGATTTTGGGACACAAGCCTAACTCCATTTAAGGTTTAAATACTGAGGTTGTTAAGAGGAAGAAAGTTCCAATGTATAGGTGCTGCCACACTAAAAGATGGATTTCTTACAAACGTGGTATTATTTGGCATCCAGAACAGCACCAGTTCTACACTGTGTTTGCGTGAAAGAGTGTAGACCTGTTGCTTTACACAGCTCAGGTATGGTGTACACAGGGTAACAGATAATACGATCGTTGAATGTCCGTGTGAACACCTCTAGTGCTTGCCTGGCTGTGACGCTGGCTGTTAACAACCTCTGGCAGGCTAGACGATTGGCTTGCTTTTGCTTTCTAGGAATAATCAATGACCTTTAAGAAAAGAAGTCTAATTTCCCTGCTTACCATACAGAACTTCGGCCTTGCTCTCCTCGAGCTGGTAGCCACCTCAGGGGCTCATATCACTGTATGTATGCCTTCTTTGTACACAAAGATTCCCAGCAGATAAGCAGAAAATGTCACTCTCCTTTTCCCACACTTGAAACGATTTGCTAAATTAATCTTACCTCCATCTAACAGTTCTTTGTTTGCCCTGACAAATCCACAAAGCCTTGCCTGATGTTTAAATGTGTTATGTTTGATGTAATATTCATGTATGAGTTTTGAAAGTTGCCTTTTTCTTTTCTTTTTTTAAAAAAGGGCTCCACATATAACTCAGGTTTGCTAAATCCTTTCTGTCTGCAGGTCCTCAGGAAACCCCATCTGCCAGGATGTTCAGAAACAGAATGTGAAGATGGGTGGTAGCAACAGACTTAGGCTCAAGAGTGTGCGTGATCCCAAAAGAGGACACCAATTTTCATAAGATTCTCATGCGGTACTACTTACTATAACTGAAACAGAAATGCGACACATCTAACCGTAGTGGAGAAGACACCAGAGGTGATTTGTCTGCCTGCTTAGTTTGCAGATCAAGTGATGAAAACTTGTTGATGGGCATCTTCAAAGCTTTTGCTCTCTCTTTCTATGGTATTTAAAAACCAGTCTTAGGCCATATTTACGGAGGCCCAAGAATTCTTTGGGTGGAAGCCATGATTGTTTAAAGTGGTATCATAGTGCTTAGTACAGGGTCAGATTTAAGGTGCTGCTTTTGACCTTTAAAACCCTTCATGGCCTAGGACCCTCGTACCTATGGGACCGCCTCTCCTGGTATGCCCCACGGAGAGCCTCAAGGTCCGTAAATAGCAACACCCTAGTGGTCCCGGGCCCTAAGGAAGTTAGATTAGCTTCAACCAGAGCCAGGGCCTTTTCAACTCTGGCTCTGGCCTGGTGGAACGCTCTGCCTCATGAGACCAGGGCCCTGCAGGATCTGATTTCTTTCCGCAGGGCCTGTAAGACAGAGTTGTTCTGCCTGGCCTTTGGCTTGGAGCCAATTTGATTCCCTCCCTCCCTCTCTTTTTTCTTTTCCTTCTGCTCCTGCGATGAGGCATTTTAATGAGGCATTTTAATATTTTAATGTTTCAATATTTTAATGTTGTATTTTAATTTGTTTTAAGTTGTAATCATTCAACTTGTTTTTATTATTGCTTGTTAGCCGCCCTGAGCCCGGCCTTGGCTGGGGAGGGCGGGGTATAAAGAAAAAATTATTATTATTATTATTAAGGTATGCAACCCTGAATGTGACTGCAACCCTGGACTGGATGACCCTCAAATAGAGGACACTATCAAACAGAGGACTGTCCTTTGTAAAGTAGGCTACATAGTCACCCTGGGCCATGCCCTCTGCTGACCTCCCATTTGGTGCTATTGTGAGGGAGGCCTATGCACTCAAAGATCATCCACATGAGTGAGAACCCTGATAGACTGTACACTTCATGAACTGTAAATCACCTCACTGCAGTTCTGAGGGCGATATGTGTCTGGAGCCATCCATACCATGGAAATCCAAACATGAGAATCCTCATTGAACACACCACATTCCAAAATGAGTAACATTCCCCTTCTCAAACGCCCCACCTGAGAAAGTGTTCTCTCCTCTGCATGCAAGTATATCTCTATTACATGCTCTTCACTGTTGCCCTCATGCTCTGTGGCTACCTAAAACCACGCAAGTTTACATTTTCTTCTTTCCCTCCCACTCTCCACACCCGCGGGCTGCCTTGCCCTCTCCTGCTGGCTTTGGAGAAATAACAGCCAGCAGTGTGTTTTATTTCTTTCATTGTTCAGTGCAGTGAAGTCTTAATGGTTGGTTTCCCTGTACTGTATACAATTCTGAGAGCTATTCCCTGGGCGACAAAATGAAGTGATGACTTTTAAAAGCCATTTTTAGACTGATTCTGTGTGGGTTCTTCTGGAGCGATGGCGGCCTCCACATACTCTCTGATTTAAGAGGGAGAGAGCCAGCCCACATAGCCTCCTCCCTCCCCTGGACAGAGAAACAAAATGCATTAACGTGACATCATCATGCTTCCCATTCCCCTGCTGCCACGTGTGGGGGGCTTGAAGTGCAATGACATCATTTGCTACCAGTCGGCTGCTGAGCCAAGTTCAAAGGTGCTTGGGTTGACATTTAAAGCCCTCCATGGCTTAGGGCCCACATACTCATTGGATCGGTTACTCCCCTATACACCAGCCCAGACTTTAAGACATTGCGGAGACACCCCCTTAACAATGTGACATGTGCCAATGAATGGTATGTAGAAACCTGTGAGATGATGCTCTCAGTCGCGCCACCTTGATTATGGAATGCCGTCCATTCACAGTCTGGACAACCTATGGCTGCTGACAGCCTGTGGGCACCTTCAAAAGCAGCGGTGGTGGACCTTTGACCTTCCAGATGTTGCTGAACTACAACTCCCATCAGCCCCAACAGGCAGGACCAACAGCCAATGATGATGGAAGTTTTAGTTTAAGCAACACCTGGAGGGTCGAAGGTCCACTACATCTGCTTTAAAGAGATATTTATTCACACAAGCATTTGGCTAAATTGGTCAGTAGAGTTGATTCTGATTTGTTGTAATGGTTTTTGATGTGTTTAAAGTTTTTTTTTTAATTGTTGAGCATGCAATATGAATTTTCCCTGTTGTAACCTGCTTTGGGATTGATTTTGAAAAGGCCAGGCTCGAAACGGCTCCAATGAAATAAATAATGTTCCATTCCCCACATGTTCATTAGATTCTTCTAATCAATGTTGCTCAGCTCTCTGCAGCCTGTTTCGGAGGGTGTTGTGTTCTGAAATCAGCAAACAGCTATACTTACCTAAGCAAAACTAATATGAAACCTCTGAGTACTTTCCTTGGACTCCCTTGACTTTGTCATTTTGGATTGAACCAAGACCATGGATGATGAAAGAAGGCCCAAGTGGAAGCAGTGATGTAGTAATTCAAAAATTAAGCATCTCATCAATTGAGTGCCTATCAACAATGGAGCATTTTCAAAGAAATATAGGAAGCATACTCATACCAAGTTGGACTACTGGTCCATCTAGATTGGTCCATCTAGCTCAGCATTGTCTACACTGACTGGTAGATGCTCTCGAGGGTTTCAGATTGGGGACATATCCAGCTCTACTTGAAGATGCTGGGAATTAAACCTGGGAACTTTTGCATGCAAAGCAGATGCTTTACCACTGAGCTTCAGCCCTTACTCTACCCTACGGTGTCAGGAGGACCATACCTTTCAAAGTATGGTGACCGTGATGTCATAGCTGCTCTCTCCCAATATAGGCCAAACTTTGCAAGAGTCAGAACGGGCCTACGAAGAACATTCCATCCATTATTTTATCTCCTCCCACTCTGTTACGTGCCCAGGAGAGAGTAAGGACCCCAAGCTTCTGCTTTCTTCATTTAATATCATCTGAGCACTCTGGCACAGATGCTAATGTCCATTTTTATTTCTTGTTTATGGAGAATAAGGAGGTGGAGGACATTTAGGGAAAGACTTAAAACTTTTCTTACATGGGATAACTCACACATTCCCTCCTTCCCCTTTCAGAACTTGAGGAATCTTTGAAGACTCTTCCCTGAATATACTTATGCTTCAGTATATAGGGCATTTCCCGTAACAAGATAATAAATGCTTTTCTGAGTGATCAATAAAACAATGCACCCAAGGAACATTTTAAAAACACCCATTTACCTGCATCAGTTTTCAGTGTCTCTGTATCCTTACACCTTTAGTGTAATAATTTCTACAGTCCTTGTATTCCAGATATCTAAAACTTAACCGCTCTATATGACTAAGGTGGAACATCTGTGGATCTTCAGATTTGTTAGACTACAAGTCCCATCATTCCTGACCATTGGCCATATTGGCTGGAGCCGATGGGATTTGGAGTCCAACAATATATTTGGCGGGCCAACCTTGCTATATGCCATCTGATTATTGCAAATGAGACACAACAGCTAGGCTTTGTGAAGCAGCTATTGGCTATCCTGGACCAGAGACTTCCTATTATGTCAACACAGAGCCCATCACTGGGAGTCTAGATAGGATGGAATGAGCTTCTTTTCTCCAGGTGATGGTGGGAGGTGGCTGACTTCTACAACTTTTTCTGAGTCATCTTGTCAATCATCTCTGAAGCAAACACAGACTGACTCAGTCCAACACTTCTTTCCTCGGCATAGCCTCAGGTCTTCCAAGGATATGCTTGCTCATTTCCTGAGCTATCAACGAAATGTACAATATGAAATCCCTTTTTGTGCCCCAGTTGCAAAAGAAGCAGTTCACAAGTGCCTATACATCACGCTGTCAGAAAAGAACAAAAATGAGTGCTTGTGGAACACTAACAAGGTACAATACAGAACAGCCATAACAGCTCTGAAGCCATCAGTGGGGGAAGGGTGGCAGGCAAATGCATTCACACAACCGCTTTGCTTCTGCGAACACACACATCACACCTCGGACCACGTATGGAAACAGGAAGCATCCAAGCACCTCCCATGTACCTGAACATTCACCATGTAAGTGCATGCCAACAAGAATGCAACACCAATTGTTTAGCAATCTAAAAACGTTTGTTCCCAACCTTAATTTTAATTTTCTCAAATAATGCATGCCCGCTACATGTACATGTAGAACAACCCTCTGCCTCCCCCCAACCTTGCTCTCCTATTGGAATGATCCTGAGCACGTGAAGTGAGCTCCTCTTCATTTGCAACCCTCCTTCAATCCTTAAAGAAATGATTTCTCCCAAACAGCGGAAGAAGTCTCTGTGTGTATGTGTTTCGCCCCCTCCCCCAATTTCAAGCCAGGTTTACACTCCTACAGACCGATGCTTCCTGATGCATCATGCTGATCTTTTTTTTGTTTTTCAGGAAACAGTTCTTTAAGGTGATCCAAAGGGAAAGGAAATACATTGCCTCTCTTCCCTCCCACCAGTCCTTGATTAAAGATGAGATCAGGAGGAGACCCAGTTTCTGGGCAGGAATGCCAAGCAGGCTCTCCCCACCCATGTAAGGCATACATAATAATGTTGACAGGCAACCCACCTCAACCTTACACACACACGCGCGCCACTAATGCACAACTGCTCTTTGCTTTTGGGAAGCTGACCCTGGCGCGTGCCAGGTGGGGCAGGCGACAGATCCTGCCCCCTTACATCATCTCTCCCCATCATCACCATCACCCCCACCGAAAAAAGAGAGGATGGCGCCCCCCCCCCATCGTCTGCCCCACTCACCTCGACGAAATAAAAACAAGGCAACAGCGTGACGCTCTCCTTGACCACTTTGCTTTTCTGCCTCTCTTTCGAAGACATGCTGGACGGCGCGGGCAGGAGACGCGCAGCCGGAGCGGGCGGCAGCGAGTGCGCGACCGCGGCGGCGGCGGCGGCGCTGCCGGGCAGCCGTCCCCCTCTCCTGCCCCACTGCCTGGCGGCGGCGCTGATGTCACATCCCCCCGGGGCCACCTCCCGGTGCGGGAGCAGCGCGCAGCCCACAACCTCCTCCTCTCGGGGCGGCAGCAGCAGCAAGAAGCCCGCCTGGCCGTCGGCGCCACCGCCACCGCCACAGCCACCACCGGCGCTGGCCGGCCGGCCTGCCGCTAGTCCTCCGGCTCCCCTGTCGGCCAGCAGGCGCCGGGCGGCCTCCTTCTCCAAAGCGGCGGCGGCGATCAGCGCCTCCTCGTGCCCGGCGCACTCCCCTCCGGCGAAGGGCCCGCCTTGCCTACATCGAGCGCTGCCGCCAGCCGTCGCTCTCGCCAGCCGGCTTCTTCGTGCAATATTCATAGGTCTGACGTCAAGGAAGCTGCTCCATGCGAAAAGGGGAAGGGGGCCCGCTTGCCTACATGGTGGTGGAGCGGGAAGAGGAGGAGGAAGGAGGGGCGCGGGCACAGGGAGGCGGCCGCCTTAACCTCTTCGCCGCCGAGCCCCGACGCAGCATCATCATCCTCCTCCTCGGCGACGGCAGGGTGGGGTGGCGTCGGGGGTGGAAGGCAGCTGCGCGAGAATGTAGGTCGCCCGGGGTGGGGGGACGCGCGAGCGAGCGAAGGAAGGCCCCCTTCACACGTTCGCGGTGTGGGCGGGCGGGCGGGCGCCTCCTATAGGACGCCTCGGACGGAACACGTGGCCGCTCCGGCGCGCGCGCACAGGCGCCCACACGCGTCCGGGAGACGCGGAACGCGCCATCCGGGAGGATGCGGGGAAGGGCCCCGGCTAGATCGGGGTCCAGGAGTACACGAGGATGTCCAGTTGGAGAGGCCAGACGGGAGCTCACCTGGCTCAGGTGCTGCTCCACACCTGGCCTAAGGGAATTTGGATTGCCGGATGGGCGGGGCGTTAATACATGGGCGTAACCAGGATTTTTGTTAAAAGGGGGCAGGCTTTTGTTGGGGCAGAACTTCAGATTTGTATTGATCTTTATTGATTGGGCGGGGGGGCAGCTGTCCCTTCCCCCCTTGACTACACCCATGTAATAATACTAACAACAACAACAAGCAATATAGCTGTTTCTGCACATATTTAGAAATGGGGCCAGGAATAATGGAGTCACCCTTAAGCATCTTTTTGCTGTATCAGAGCAATGATGCCTGTATTTCTGTATTTTTTATATATTTGCTGTATAATGTGAGAGTTTTGCTTTTTGTGCATTGAGGCCCCTCCTAACAGCTTAGTCGGAAGAGCCTGAGACTCTTAGTATCAGGGTTGTGGGTGTGAGCCCCACATTGGGCAAAAGGCATTGCGGGGGTTTGGGCTAGATGATCCTTGTGGTCCCTTCCGACTCTACAGTTCTATCATAATATGAGGCTGAAACTGTAACCTACCAAGCTTGTGCTCCAGCACTGCTAGTTCTCACAGTGACAGACCAGATGGCTGTGGGAAGCTTGCAAGCAGGAGCCAAGGGCAGTAGCAGCACTTTCCCTATTTGTGATTCCCCAACAACTGTTATTCAGAAAAAATATTGCCTCCTGTAGTAGAGGGAGAACATAACCATTGAGGCTGCTAGCCACTGCTAGCCTTATCCTTCCTGAATTTGTATAATCCTCTTAAAGAGTAAGTTCCATGCTCAGGGGTAGGGGGAAACTCGCAGGATTGTAGGGTTGCCATATTTCAAAAAGTAATATTTCAAAAAGGACACCCTTAAAGTTGTTGAGCTGATTTTAGAAAGACCCCGATATTGTTGAGCTTCTTTTGCAAAAATGCCAAAAAAGGCGATTTATCGATTGACTTGCCTAAGATCCAGGTCGCCTTTTGGAAATTCGCCCCGGACGTCAATTCCACCTTTGAAATCCTGGTAATGTCCTTAGGATTGGGACACAAGCCTGGGCAGTGCTTAGGGTGATCCTGGGCTGCCCAGACAACAAGACCCCCTTCTCAACCTCAATGATGTGGTCCAAAGGAAATCAGAGCAATATGTTTGGTACCAGCTTGCCTGCAAGAGTTGACAGAAGGAGACATGCAAAGCACCATCCAACCATCTTAGGGACTCCACTCCGGATTTGTGTAGGGTGTACTCCTTAGCCTTCTCTTGTCGCAAAGATGTCCCACAAGACAGCCGTGATTTAGGATCAGAGGTTTCCTTCTCCTAGATGAGCTACCTTACCAGGTTGATGAGCCCCATCTGCCCCTCACTTCCCTCTACAACTGTTTTCTTAACTGTGGAACCTACTATTGGTCTCATCCGCTCAACCTGCCAGAGCCGGTCTTTGCATGCAGGGGAAGTCCCTAACTCGAAGAGGACTTGAGACCCATCGGCTACCCTCACCTGGTTTAGCCGACCAGTCGAAGCCATTCTAAGGGTGTGTCTGCTGTCTCACGCTGACAGCTTCTAGGAGCCGCAGATGAAAGCTGAGTTCAGGGTGGGGACCAAAGGTGGACAAACCACCCCAGAAGGAGCATGACTTGTCCGCCACCAGAGGTACAGTCCCTCCCATAATCCCATACACCTCACTTCTATATACATAAATGTATAATCATCATCGTCATCATCATTTTTTATTTGTATGCTGCCTTTCCACAGTTAAAAAACGATGATCAAGGAGGCTTACAGCATAACAAGATTTACATAATTACAAAAGTCATAAACAATAAATAAACCACATCCAAAAAATACACAACCAAATGGGAAACAATTTCCACATAAATCAAAATCTAAAACTAAGAATACCGCATTAATATCAGTTTTAAATGACATAGGTAAAAAATAACAGCAATTTAAACAAAAACAAAACCAAACTGAGCCCTCTCTGCCCAGCAGCAGCTGCTACAGCAGCAGTCTTTTATAGAGCCCGTCAGGCCCTGCCCTGGGCCAGGGGTTGAGTGGCAGGACTGGGGCCCTCAGGCGCTGAGCTGGGGAGTCCTCCTGGGTGGTAGCCGCAGCAGCAGTTCTTATAGGCCTGTCATATTTGAGGTATCACAATCAGTGAAACAGCAGTTTCATAGCAGACAACGTATGACTCAGCATGGCATCCACCCCTGGCAATGCTAGAGCAACCGTCTGCACCTCTTACAAGACTGACTCCCGATAAAAGCCTGGAGGACAGAAATAGGTTTAATTATTCTGTGAACCGCCCTGGGACTTCCGGACATAGGGCAGTATATAAATTCAATAAATAAATAAAGTCAAAACATAGCCGGTGATGGCATCTATCAGATTTACAGGAGGGAGCTCCATAGCCGGGGCACCACTACAGAAAAGGCTCTTTCCCAGGTCACATATGGGTATAAACCCAGAAGGGCAGCTCCTGAAGGTTTTTATAGAAAGCCCCTTTTTTTAAATGTATCTGGGTCCAATGTCATCCAGGGCTTCATATGTTAGAAGTCAACACCTCTATTTGGGCCCGATAACATATTGGAAGCCAACACAGCAAAGGGAGTCCAGGAATGTATGAACCAGGGCTTCCTTTTGAGTATGCACTTTGTGGTGAAACTTGCTTGGCTTCTGTGCGATATGTGAAATAGCCTAACAGCTACATGTTCCTGCATTGTAGGGGATTGGACAACTCTATGATTCTATGACTGTTTTACTATTCCTAGAATAATGGTTAGAAGGGAGAGGCTGAGCTCAGGAGACACGCAGCACCCTAATCCCAGATGAGTGAAATCTTCTAAGGTTACTGAAGAAATGGGATTCTGTGCGTGCTCAGAAGCAGCATTTAAATGCTATGGCAATCCTCAAGAAAGCAGTGTAAAATAAGAATGGCATGTATTGATGACTGATTATTGTACTGGTTGAAAATCAAGGTACCAGCTTAGATTTCAGTAGGGATGGGGCAAAGAGGTATCACTGGGAAGGCAGGGTAAAGGCTTTTCCTTAGATATAATTCAAGATTAAACTGAGAAGTGGAGGAGGAGGAGAAGGGCGAGGAGGAGGAAAGATAACCACCAACGTTCAGTCTTAAGAACCAAACCATCTAAAAAGCCCATGGAGGGGGGAAATGAATATTTTAATCACTAACTTATATCAAGTTTCCTGTTTTGAAATTCACATATTTCTTGAATCAGCATTCATACTAAATGGTTGCTGTAAGAATTACCATATTTGTTTGCATCTAAACAGAGCCTAAACATATGCAATTTAGAAGCATAATCCAAAACTTTTACCTATGCCATCCTTATGTGCCCTTTCCTCTGGATAATGATACCTGTTTAGAGATAAGAGGCAGATTTTTATTTGGCACTTGGTACACATGCAAGGATACTAAGCAAGATCATTTCCTTGAAGGCTTATCAGCTTTCCAACAAGGAGATGGAAAGTGAATGTGCATGGTGTTTGATTTGTAGAGTCATAAACATTCATAATTTGAGAACTGAAAACATTATAGAACTCGGGTAACTGAAGGACCTCAAAAAACAACCACAGTGACTCGGTGGATGACCACGGTGAGAAAAAAAGAAGGATTTCTGGGATTCCTACATCTGTAATGATCTCTTGGTTCTGTATGAAGCCTACAGCTATTAGCATATTGCAAAATTTCCTGTGAAATTTTAAATGCCTAAGCTCAAATATCAGATATTTTCCACAGAGGCATGAGATTTTTTCTCATGAAGCAACCTTCAACTCAGTCTTTGAAATTGTGTGTGGGATTGAACAAGTTTGTATTAAATTCAGATTTCCTTTAAGCCAGGCTTCCCTCTCTCTCTCTTTAAAACTATAATTGAAAAATGTAAAACATTTACACTGCAATTAAAAAACAACTCCTGGTTGAAACATTTTTTAAAATTTTCTCTTTGAAACAATTTTTATGTTTCCTGTACTGTTTTCTCATGTGCCCTTCATATCTGATGAAACCACCCTACTCTGGCAGAGGTGGGAAACCTTTTTCAGGCCCAAGAGGGATCTATTGCAACCTTCCAGGGGCTTCATATCATTGGTGGGTGTAGCAAAAGTGGGTGTGGCCAGAAAAATGTCATCCTCCACCTAGGCAAGCAAGGCGTGTGGTCACCATCCAAGGACACATTCCAGCCAGGTAAACTCACTAGAGGAGGATGCAAAGCAGGGCCAGTGCAGGGATGTGGCCCAGGCAGAGTCTTGAGGGCCGTCTGCAGAGGCCTCAAAGGCCACATTTGCCTTAGAGGGCTGAGGCCCCCTCCCCCTGCTTGTACTAGGCAACTGACACCCAAGTAGCAACATCATGCAAGAAGCAGCCCATAGATGCAGCTGTAGCAAAGGAAGAAAGTGAGTGGGAAGGCAGGCCATATAAGGAAAGATTTTTGCAAAACTCAGTCGAAAGAAGAGAGAATGAGAACACACAGAACCACAGATAATTTCTGCTAACAGTTGCAAATACACCTCCAGAGATGACAGCAGGGATAATGTGATGAATTTTGTTTGCATAAGGGTAAAGGTAC